CTTTCCATATTATGGAGACCGCAATGATAATTTGGGTAGCGGATTTGTCTTGCTCATTGTGTCGTCATGAGTTCTAGATTGGACTAGAGACGTTGTCGAGTGCATTCTGAGTATGTAAATCGTATTGTATAGAAATTATGTAGGGAAAAGGTGGATGTGGTAGTTTCGGGACGGATATTTGGATTCTGGGAGAGATTACTGTATCTGCCCGCTCATTTCCGGACCTTATCGGACTTGTTGGCGGAATTTCTTTACTCTCTATATGCTACAGTAACCGCTTCTTTGGTTTTCGTTGAATAAATAGCACGCACATCTTTCCGTCACCTTCTCTCACTCTCCGTAACAAATTGTAACGTTGTATCCAATTAGCTCACGTCGATGTCATCTTTTTCTTATTTGTTGTTCCCATTCCTTTTCAGTCTTTGTCTCGCTACGGTACCCATCACGCTATTCGCAAAACTTTGGGTATAATGTCGTTGCCTATGCTTTAATTATCGAAATGCTACTGTATACAAAACAGCGCATCGTGCAAACCCCGCACGCCATTTGCGAATGTTAGAGAATCTTGTGACAGGTTCAGGGGCTGCCCCGCCGAACAAAACCGATTCTCTAATGGCGTATTTTTGGAGGTAATTGGCCTAGCGATTGTTTTTCCGCATTCTACGTTTCGTGTATTGAGCTAGAATTTGGGCATCTTCCTACGTCAAGCCGGGTTACCCATTGTCTCGGCATATTATTCTCAAGCTATTTATCGGCCGTTGAACCTGTAATTTCGGCGGTGGAAGTAATGCACCAACCGGGACTACTATTTAAAGCCATGTTTTTCACCATGACATAGTGCATTGTAAAAGCTGATAATGCCACTTTTTTTGTAATTGCGGAAAATCGCGAGAAACTTGAAAGCGACGAGTAAATCGTGGGTTATGCAAGTCTAATTAATGGGTGGGAAAACTTGATACATCATACATAGACATTTGAGCAAACATCCTCAGTTAGTCGTCGGAACTCGTCATCTCGACGCACATCATAGCATCTTGAGGTGATTCTTGTGTAAGTGGCATAGTTGGTTACGTATAGGTTTGATGAAATACCAAGTTGAGAACTAATTAATGACCGAACTTGCGATTTGAGAGTTTTTATTTCTCTTTGCATGCATCGCAAAAAAAAAGGTTTAAAGCTTGGTATGCTAGAATACGTGACATTTCTTTGCCGTAAATATTGACACATGCGACGCAGCGGAACGTGTAGAAAATCTTAATTTTGCATATTGAAAATGTCAGGAGAAGCAGCGTGCTCTGAATATACAGTTGTATACGGAACCATCTGCAAACTGGCTACGGTTCAGGCACCATTTTTAACAAGGATCCAAGTGGTCCGCAATCCCAAAAATGTTTTAAATGGCCAGCGAAAAACCTGAGTCGGCTAGCCAAGAATTTAACGGTGGTTCAACTCATTGGCTAGCTGATAAAATAATTTTGCAACCATGGCTCTAGATATTGGACTGATACGCGATCTGCCTCAAGTGAAAGGTAGCGATTCCGATAATTCGGTTCCTTCTGGACAGTTATTTCCGTTTCCCATGATGCAAATTACGACGTTTCCCATCGTTTTATGCGGCCCACTCTTTGCAACGCGGCAGTTTACGCGTTTCAGAATATATAATTGACAATGTTTGGTGCTAAATAATTTATCCTGTGAGAGCCATAATTGCTGTTTCCAGCTTGTGTACACTGGGTCCTACGTATCCCTTAATACGCCACACTTTTAACCCAATTCCGGCAATTTCAGTTGATATAATTCCACTTTAAAAACAACTAGAATACAGTTTTAACCGCACCCTGCATTTAATAAATTTTAATAAAATTGCTATATTTTAATAGAATTGCGATAGTTTTGTCATCATTGTTGGAATCTAATTATACAATCACATGCGTAAGCTGAGCTCTTCCAGGGTCGCTTTACGGATTTAGGGTAAATTCAAAATTTTGAGAGGACCTCCGGGATTAGGGCTTCAGGACAATTCCAAAGCTACAGGAAGTCGCATTAGGTCTAGTGTAACAGGTTGCCGGTACTTGTTCTAAAAAGATTTCAAGCGCAGACGTGATTCCGGCTGGAGTACTGTAGTCCATCTGAAGATTTGGCAACCATAGCTTCTCTGAATGTATTACACGTCGCCATAAAAAATTTCATTCTTATATTGTGAGAAGTTGCCCTTAGATCTCCTCTTTATATGTAGTTCCTGGTAATCCTTAATGAAACCTGTGTTCTGCTCTTTCATTCGAAATTTTTTACGCACTTTCTTTATTCATTTTCACAACTTATTGTCTTTATCTCAAAGCCCATGCTCCACTCTTCCCACCCAGGCTGCAAACCCGAGGACTTTCTTTGTACTAAAAGTGGTTTCTTTATATGTATCTTCCTAAGCCCATTGTGTAATTCGAAATGTACATAAATACATTGGAGACGTACGGTGAAAGCCGATTGTAGTCGATGAAATTTTTCAAAAAACAAAGAGCCTTCTTCAATTCGTTTTACTGTATTCCGAGCTGCCAGCGGAATGTCACAAGTGATCGTTTTTTTCACTTCCAGACATACAATTGTGTTGTTGTAGTTGTAGAAGGGGCGGTTTTCAAGTACGACAGTGCTTTGTAGATAGGCTCACGGTATTGTGATCAATTCAGCCTACGACAGAATTGCAACCACGAGAAAAAGAAGGCCATATGGACATAGTATTTTCAGCACATACGACAACAGCTATAGAATAAGAAAATTCTGGAATTGAGCTACAAGTAAACGAGCACTGCGATCATCAGTTTTATTAAACTGATTAGTAATCCTTATGGGTTCACTGCGGGTCGGGCTAAAGACTATCTAGTTCGGTCTAGAGACTATTTAGTCCGTGAAATCGCATTATTCTTGCTCGATTGTGGAGCATTTTATTTTATTTGTTTTTATTTATCGTCTAAATTTACATTTGTATCCGCAGAAAGACTTCCTAATCTAGTGAGTAATACGTCTACAATCTATTAATAGGACAGATATATTAAAAAGCCATCATGTTTTTTACTGCGTAGACATCGAGTAAAACGAATAAATCACTACTGTAGTTGAGTACACAGCAATGACAATAGTAAGACTAGGTATTTAATCAATGTTTTCTCGCGGATTTGAGAGCTTTTCTGTTGTAAGGGGATTAGGAAGCTGTTCCGGTGATATCTCTGGCATCCCGGTTACTGTAGGATTCTGTTATTCTGGAGATTAAATCCGCTGTTTCGTCGATTTTTCAGGCTAAGTAAGCCGGCTATTACACTGAAACAGCTTGGGCGGTATTTCCTGGAAATCCGCGTTGAAGTCGCGGAATTCCCGTTTATCCGTTTACAGTATGGCTACCATGGCTTTGCGCGTTGCTGTAATAAGCCTCCTGCATCTTGCGATTACCAATAATGGCGATTTCTCAATTTTCTGTAAACCTTTATTCTAATTTGTTTTTACTCTCCTTTACCACTTTTAATAGATGTTTTTTGTGTTTCAGTTGTATTAGTATAGTGGGGCGGAGCGTCGCGAGTTTTATGCGAACACAGATTCAAAATCAGTGAGTCCGCGGCCGCCGGGCCTTCGACCAAACAGTGCGCGGAATGCGGAGAGTTTACAGAGTAATCGCTGGCCGCTGTTTCGAAATTTTTTTTCTTCGCTGAGGGCCGTTGGCGAAGAGATTAACTAGACACACGGCACGAAGAAAATGGAGGGCGGAAACACGTTTTCGTGCGGCCGAAACGGGGCGGAGCTTTGGGCCGACTACAAGAATGAGAGGCCGGGAGTAGGATCGGTTTTGTCTTGATATTCCATCAAACCGTTTCAGGTGCTGAACAAGATGCGGTCGGTGTGTTTTTGATGGAGGTGGGGCTTAGGTTCAAGTTGTTACTTTAAAGCAATAACTAGGTGTAGTTGTGATAAAGTCTTTTCTCTTATTTCTCTTATTGTTGCAACTTGCTTTTCATTTACCTTTATTTTTTACGGGTATTTTTTTTGTGCTTTCTTAATATTCCCTGAACTTGCGAGGACCATTGGTTTGCACAACACCTAGGACCGATCACGCGTTGATGACAAATTTATCACCAATCATCGTCCTCTCTCTCGATTTGCGCTTTCGCTTCAAGCCCCTTCATACTGCAGTCGGGTCGTGGACATTTTTTATTTGCACAAACTCGTCTTTTATCAGTTTAACAACGAATTGACCACCATTTGTAAGCCCCGCCCCTTTTGCATGGTAGACGGACCCTGGTCCGATTTTGTCGTACCAAAAAACTGGGTTAGAGGAGTTATATTTGGGGCGTGTGTTCCCGTTGAAATACGGTTATGATACGATTTTGCGGCATAAACTAGAAGGTATCGAAATTTAGTTCCAAAGTACGGCCTTCTTTATGCAAGTTTACGTTTTGAAATCTTATGTAAATATCGATTTGAGGAACGGTACTTCTTCGCTCATCTATTTGCTGCGGACGTGATTCTCTGACCCATCCGAGGGACATGGAGTTAAACGTGCCTTATGGACGGTAGCTGAATTGTTCGTGTTATGATAAGTTCACAACAAGTCGTTGTTTTCTGTAAATATTTACCCACGCCTGGAATGCAAGAATATAATTTTAATTAAAGTAACCTTCTAATTTTTCATATCGCGTTTCAATTGCATACATGCCATTTTTTTACGGTTGAGTTACGTGATTTTGCACATTCGGTCAGATCGCGATGTTTTCTTTGCCTTACTTACAACTGATTGTTCTTAGTCCCGGTTGTGTGCCCATCAAATCGTTAACACTTTGGAAATTACGTTTTCGGAACACACAGAATCCTACTTATAAGGACCGCAGACTCCTCGCAAACACGTACTTCTGATCTCAACTTCCCGATCTCAACACCCGCTCGAGAGCACTGGACCCGGTGAGTAGTGAATGCCCCGGACTTGGTGAGCATTCAAACCATCCAATCATATCACTCCGATTATGAACAATCTTCCTGTGACGTCGACGACGATGAGTCAAGTAACGAGGAGAACGTCGACCATGTGGGCTGCATTTGCATGGACGGCCGTTATGGCTATCACAATAATGCCGGTAAGTCTTCACCTCAGGCTGTAGCCCTCGTTAGAATAAAAAAACATGCAAGCTAATTTTCGCTACAAAAAAGTTTATGTAATCTACCCAACCGTAACTTCTATTTTTGACGTTTTAACTGGGTAATTGCCCTGATATTTCCAATTTAAAAGCTAACTGCGTAAAAATACACTTGGTGTGGCCTAAGACCTTTTATTTCAATTAGCTTCGTGCCCGAAAATTGGCAACAAGAAACTGTAGGTGCTGCACGCAATTGTTCTTACGTACTTGGCTTCATCCCTGGTTTAGTCGGTCTGAATCCATTCTTTTTCGTGAACAGATTAAGCCTTGCCAACGATATTAATAAGGGATTTGTTTACGGTAACCTTGAAACGGATAACAGCCGTACAAAACACCAAAAAATGGATGTTTATCCATTTTGGCTCGTTAATTTCAAGTTCAAGTTGATTCCACCACCCAGAATGAGAAGGTGGCCAAATTAATTCGTATATTCATGTCGAAAATGGGGACGAACGTCTGCCATCTTAGGAAAACAAATATAACAAAATCAAATGAAGATATAGTAGGGTAATTACTAGCCATTTACATATGAATAAAAGTTCCATAAAGCTAAACAATGTTTACACTTCCAGCTAAGTTCAATAGAAGATTAATGGTCGAAAAGCCAGTTTATCTTAATTCTTGCGAAGCCTGTCTTACTGTAACTAGTCTACGCAAACTTACAGTATGATGATAGCGGATAAGCAAACTGTCTGATCAGTCGGTATAATTAGAAAATATAGCGTTTAATTAAAGGAGGATTAGCGCAAAAGTACATCCCACAAATTCTAATTTGAGAAAACCGCTTCCGCTAATGACGAACGTACAGCATTCTGACCTTTCACACCTACATCCTCCTCATTTTTTAGGTAATTTCTGCTGCCTCATCAACCAAGTGCGCGTCCTGTGAGGTGGATAGGTTTGACGAATACAAGCAATTCCGTCAGAACCAAATCCTCAATGACCTCCTGAGGAAACTGGAACTGGCGGCAAAACCGAATGTCACCATTGACTACGATAACCTCCCTCCAATCGGGCGACAAAACCCCCGAATAAGGGCATTGATCGAGCAAACGATTCGAGAGAAGAAAAGAACCAAAAGATCACTGCCTCGCCTCCAGGAAGACATGTCGCACCTCTACGAAAGCGATGCCGCTAACATTCCTACCAGCACATTCTTCATGGCTGAGCCAGCTCCGTGGCCAGTCAGTGAGGTAGGTATACAACTCAAATACGGATACTCAAGGTCCAATTTCTAAAATATATAATTCAAACTGTTTTAGTCATCACTCGATTCCAAAACCAGCTGGAAATATGATACTTTCCTATATGTAATTTGTAATTTCAGGCTGTTGACATCTCCGTATTTCGCTTGAACCGCTCATTACGACGAAAATACATTTACACAGCCACCCTGCATGTGTATATGCGACGACCCGTCCTCCTGAGGTTATCCCAGCAAGCGGTTACGTTCAACGTTTACCAACGATATATGAACGGATCGGTAGGATACTCTTGACTGTTAATCAACTGAATTTAGCTTGGAGATAAGCTAGCTACTAAGTACATGACCGAAGACCTTGACGATAAACGTCTTCTGGCCCCCGTTTCTATCCGATTGGATGGCCAAGACTTCCAAACATGGCTAGAGGAACAAGAACGGGAAGGCCGTGAAGCCACTCTTGGGTTATACGCAGAGATCATGTATGAAGGGCAGAACTTAGTCCTGCAACCACGCGATGGGATGGCGACTGTAAGTTTAATTGTCAAATGCCTACGTTACTAAATTCGGACATGACCCCATTAATAGTTATTATGTACAACGCTAAAAGGGCATTGTGCACCCAAACAGCACGTCATAAGCTCAGTTATTCTAAATGAATGAGTTTCCAAATTCCATGCTCAAGCAGCGAGCTTGATTAAGGTACTCCGTTCTTCAATTTTCTCCCTCTAAATGACCAGTATAAGAACCGTGGATTAGAGATACGATTTCTCATAATAAAAGATAATCTTAATGCGGAACGGGGCGTCTTAATTTTGTCAGAGGATTAAGAAGGCGGAACGATCGTAACCTCTTCCGATTTCAGAACCAATACCTGGAATTCGAGTTGTTCGATATGCCTGGGCGGAGTCGGCGGAACTCCCCTCACGTCTGCCAAGCAGGACAAAACGAGACCAAGTGTTGTCTCTACGACCTGATCATCGACTTCGAGAAGGTCGGGTGGGAGTTTGTCATTGCCCCCAAACGATATAACGCATACATCTGCAATGGTGACTGCAATGCTATGGTATGTGCAATTTAGATACACATCAGGTCTATTCAGGGTCAAAAACAGCTGTAATTACCGCAGTTTATTACACCCACAAGTTTTTACGCGCTCATTAAATTGAAAGCACATCAAAGTGGATGTATACCCAAAAAGTATCGTCCGAATGCCTAATAATTTTGCATTCCGTTCCAAGGATAGATTTCAAATTCTCTTGGCACAGCCGAGTCACACATTTCATTTAAATTTAGGTCGGAATACTTGATAGCATCCTCCCACTAAAAGTTTGCATTGAAAAAGGACTTGTGCGCCCATTTTGAAAACAAAAGCTTAGCGAACAATAGGGCAGCAACATGTTTAAGACAACATATGCACATAACTAAACTTATCAAGGACCTTTGTACGCAAAACTAATGTCCCTTTTCAGAACCAGGGTATGCCGTTGGTCTCGACACATGGCTCAATGACAGCAAAAACTCAAACCGACTTTTACCAATGCTGCCATCCCAAAGATTACACCGGTGTAACCATCGTATACGTCACTGAAAGCAATCAGATATGGGTCAAAGAAGTTCCCGGTATGGTGGCCCGGAAATGCGGCTGTGCATAAACAGTGGCCCAATAGCAGTTTTGTTTTGAATAGTATATCAATAGCTACCTTTGACTGTTCGGGGTACGTCGTTGACCCTCCGTATCCAATCATGTGATCATGTTCACAGCCTTCTCTGTATATCTCTAATACCTATTTATCGTTAACCATTATAATATCAAAGGCCGATATCATCAGCAAAAACCGTTGTCACTTTCTGTACATTTCATGTCTAGCAGTCTTCTTCGAGTCGCCAAATATCATACCATGGGACTTGGATATCAGCGTAGATAATCATAGGCGTCCTGAGAATTTACTTTACAGTTTTCACTTTCGTTTTTTACGTCAACAGGTGGCAAGACATTCAGCCACAGTAGCGACGGCCCTAATTAAGGTAGCAACTATAGTCAATTAAAACATGTAGGTCACAATAATCACAATTATATACCAATGAGGGTTCTTGGTGTAAAACGGGCCCTAATTAGTAATTTACTGGTATTTGTAATCACAAAAAAAGGTTCCCCAGGCATAGTACGTTGAATAGAACACACTTTACACTCATGTACTACATAGGACTATTAGAATTTCCAACTTAATTTATATCTTTCGTTCAATATTGCTATTGCGACGTTACTTGTATATTTCATTCATGTTTCACGTCTAACGTATCTCAACTGATGTTATAATTATTCTTGTGCTATTCCCGTAATTTATTTTGTTGTATATGATTTTCTTTTTGAATGTTTATTGTTATCAATTGTTTCCATGAGGCTACCATGTCCTTTTATCTTAATCTCATTTGTATTGAGCTCTTTCAACCCATCATTTGTTCTCAGTATATCTTCTTCTTACTTACTTTTACGCGCATACAAAAATATATTCCATTGTAAGTCAGCAATGTGCAGATGTCTTCAATCGCAAGGGATCTACTATTTATAATTAAGATAATTAAAACAATAGGAGTGTTTTTAATAGGATCCAACGCCCTTGTGCTCTGTAAGTTAAGCTGTTAGTGTCTTTCTTAAGTTACGATAGATCCCGCTCTGTAAATGCAAAATATAATAATCTGTTAAAATAATCGTAATTAATGTAATAAAACGTCTTATACCTTCTGTTATATCATATTGTGTTGATTTTTTCTTCCATATTTTGTTGTATCTTCGTTTTTTGTGTTTTTTTTTGTGTCTTGAATATCGAATAAAGAATATAAAAATAACCATTTCGGATTTTTTAAAAATCGGTGTATTAAACACGTTTAAAAAAACCGCGTCTACATTTATAGTAGCCGGTATAGATTCAAGACTTATAGCCGGTATACATCCATTTAATTATTTTTATGCAAAATAAAAACTGATAAAATACGCGTTTCGTACGCCATGTGCCCATATAAATTTTTCATAGATTTATGGGCAAATGGACTTGTGTTTTTTACATAAGTAAAAATCAGCGGGCATTAGTTATACCGATGCATTGACCTTTTTATGACTAGGTAAAACAGAAATTTTTAAAATCGCCTAGTTTCTCTTGAATAAATTATAATTATGGATAGAAAATAACAAAGGGTATGCAGAATCCTCACTCGTAATACGCGCTATTCTAATCGTAAGGCCTTCCTCTGACTCAAATCCAGATTTACGTCGCAAAATTTAATGAATAAGAAGATGATTTTAAGTATTTTTCCCATCGACGATTTGGGCACTGTGTTCTAACGTCAGCACGATGCCAAAAACAACAGGTTTTAACCCATACAATGTAAAAGACATTGCTGATTCTTAGTCCGTTTGATATTATAAGCCCTAAACCGCTGTCATAAGCCGGTCAAAAAAGGGATAGTCTTTATAACTGTAATCTGATGCATGTGCTACTTTCAAAAAACTGTAATGAATCATCGAGGCTTGTATAAGCCTCAGATTGTATAATGTAAAGTTAGCCACAATCCGATCGGCTGACCTCCACTCTTTTTCATGGTAAAGATCACACAAGATGCAGCGGTGTGTACTACCAAGCTGTTTTTTGAACCATTGGCCGAAGAAAAAATACGGCTTGAAGATTGTGCAATTGAACAAGAAATGCAGCTGTGACGAAAAACAGTTAACTTGACATTAACCTCCTCACTTATTTTTTGCAGCTACTTTGGTGATGTGGCGCTGATGCAACCGTGTTTCCGTCAGTGATAGCGCGGGGGAGAGCGGAAACACAGAAAAGTTATTTGAGGGGCACCCTTAGGCAATGACCATTTGATTGACGGGTCTTCAGTTCAAATGGGCATTACTATTGCATTTCCTCACCATTTGAGAGACCTTTTGCAAAAAACTTCCTCAGTACTTAGAGGTTTTCAAAGCTCACCTTGCAAACACATTAGGATCAGAAAAAGTATAACACCACCATCAACGTAGACGAGCAGACATGCACTCTCGTCGACGCATTTTCAAATTATACCGTATAATCTTGCATATTTATTACGGCGAAAACTTTTGTACCACGACATTTCACGGCGGAGAAGAGCACCATAATGTCGACCAAAAATCATGGTTATTACAAATATTTACCGTCTTTCTGTCGACATTCTTGTTTACAACAGTGCTCCTCCTGACATTTGAACGCTCAATGCATAAAAAAGCATTAATAAATTGATTGTGAAAATTCTGCCGGAATGTCTGATGACATATGGTGTCACACCCAGAAATGCTACAAAACAAAACTAATGAAAAACTATGGGAAATAGGTCCAAAGTTTAGATAGCGCGGGGCAAACAAGGCAATTTACGTCAGACAGAGTTCGACTTTTCTATTAAAGTTTGGTTCAGTAAATGAAATATATGTACATATAGGTAATTCAATGTCGTCGTTTCGATTTATGATAACTCGAATGATGTACATTTACCTTTATTAAAACCGTAGCAACGTAAGATACTTAGAGGAATCTTCGTGGGCTGCAAAGATGAGATACGGTACAAGGGATGGATGATGAAATTAAGAGCATACTACACTTTCAGCCCAAGAGAATCCGTCAATTTGACGGAACACAGGTACACTTTCATAAAGGTCTTTAGATTCCGAGGTCTGGGAAATTTTTGGGTATTTATAGGAATTTTCAAAATGAGGAATCGGCCGAAGAAAAAACAAATTTTCACTTGGTTAAAATAAGAAACGTACGGTTGCGCACGCCGCGGCGCGCCGCTTGCCCACGGTCTAAGGCTATAGGCCAATCTAGGCTAATTTCATAAATACCCCAATATACCCGAAATTATTGGCGCCTTTGTTTTCGCGGCATGACATAAAAAACTTTTTTTCACATTTCGTTTCCAACACCGAAAAAAATTCAAAAGCAGACGCACTGGCCCTTTAATTGTGTCCGTAGCATGATTCCTGCAATTTTTTAAGTTTTACCCTACTTATCTACCAGTAGTGAACTCTGAATAATTCATGTCGGATAACGATAATACTGTGAAATCGGGTTTCTGTTTTCAACAGCTGAACTCTTCTCCGTCGTATCGAACGTAAATTTTCAAGAACCAAACATTAAACCGAGTAAAGAACCCAACAGTCGCATCATTAGGCAACATTCTAACGAACATGTCACTTAATTTACCTGGTCGAATTGGACTGCGTACCCCCAGTTTCCAACCCATGAACAACTAAAAACAACTTTGGAGGCGAAATGTCGGAAAGATTGACAACCGCGACGTCATCACGAATGTATACAACATTTACTCAACGGTATTTTAAGCAAAAAGATAATATGGTCTTGATGAGTCTGGAGGCGAAGATAATGCGTAATATAAAGTTCGAAAGCTTCCCGAATGCAGTAGCTAAATGTCAAAGATGATTAAAAAAAATACTGTAGCTATACGGAAAAGAAAAAAAAAACTTCTAATTCTAGATTGTTTATCAGTCTTAGCACGTGAGCTCTGGCAGAAGACGCGAGGTCACGCTAAACACAACGATTCATAAAGCCAATATCAGATGTTAAAATGGCATCAGTGCACTCCTCTTAATTAATCGGAGGCCAGATAACAGAAAACTGGTTGTTTTCATAACCATTTTATGTTTTCGAGAACTTCGGATCTCTCATCACCGAGAATTCACTAATCCAGCCATATTTTCAGTCAGTTGTAGCAAATCAGTTAAAAAAGTTACCAGCCGCGAGACCAGACATCTGACAGGATACCAAAGATATCGCAAGAACAATGGCCAATGATGTTAAAAAAATCTGTTCGTTCTCATACTGTATAAATGCACTTATTAGATTGGAATCGGCACTGATCTCAGACTTTTGGTTGTAAATAGCTATTAAGCAGCCCGTTAAACTCAAACTTTACATTCACTTTCAACGCGGTACAGTTAAAAGCCGCTTTTCAACAACTCCACGTAGCCACTAATAATTTCATACTTGTAATGGGCACGTTTCGCACTCAATGAAAAGACGAATAGCTTTTGTTGAGAGGCACATTCTGCGGGAAAACACAACTTTAAACACTGCAATCGCTTTACCCTAATTCCCTAATACTCCAACGGAATTTCAATCTTCATAATGCAAGGTGCAGTACCGTATAATATATACGGTTTAACGGCTATTCCCATTGTTTACAACCCCGTCCCCTTTCCTGACATTTTGAAACTATTGTCTGCAATAAGGTTCGACTTTTACATATATATAATAAGCCGGTTGCATAAAGCTTTCAGACTTTTATGAATGGAAAAATCCCTGTACCATTGGCCTCGGGAAGAAAGCCATTAAATCCCATCATTGTGCAGATTTATCGCAATGGATTAAGATCGAATTATGTCACTGACGTGTAGAAAATAAAAAATTGATCGTTCGACTTTACATCGTTTTTGTTTTTACCCTTTGCATCCAAAAGCCACAAATAGTTCCTCCATTAGTAAATCAATCCTTATGGCCTTTAAAATTCAGGTGTCGCAACAACAGACTAAGTCTCAAATTCAGGAACCTTTACAGTATTATCCACCCAAAGATGACTGTCAAAAGGTTCCTCGTTTCCGTCGTGCAGTTTTAGCGCCCAGTTTTTGACCTTTAATCGTCTGCAATAGCGGAAATTACGACTGGCTTGTGAATAGAGCATGGTTACGAAAATGTCTGCTCGCTTAAACGGAGAACTGATAGAAAAATAGGCAGATAACGGCCTTTTGGTCCATCGAATGACCTCTTCTTTCCAGCTTACGAAATCAACCAATTATCACCGCAAATATAATATAAAATGCGTCGATTTGACGTTGCATATTGATATTTCTGCCAGACATTGTTTACGCCGCAAAAGTGCTACAAAAAAGGTGTTTGAAAACAAACTAAATGTTATTCCATCTCCAACTGCTCGAAAATAAACATGGACCCGGGTAAATAATTGAAACAAATAGTCTGTAGAAATGGCAAAAGAATAATTTATACCCGGGTTTCAATAAGTCGGCCTTTTTTCTGTTTACAATAGGACCCAGTCAAGAAATGACATTACGGCGGCTATTTTAGTCATAGATATCAAAACATTACATAACCCATCTTCGATAATTTTTTACGATCACCACATAAAAGATGTGACAAACTAAACCACATTCTTTGACCCCTCGAACCCTGTTTTATCACAATTTACGGCCAATTTCCCGATCTCTCCGTTGTTTGGACTGATAAAAGCCAATACGGTAAGTCAATATTTGAGACAAGTTTGATGTGTGACCAATAATCAGCAAATAAATACGCGGGAAACGTTTAAAAGTGCACGAGTCAGATATTTGAACTAATAATATCATAGATCATATAAATGCCCATAAACGGTCACAATCTTCTTTATTCCTTCTTCTAGCTACTCTTATCTTCTTTCTTTTCACTCTTCTCACTTTTGTCACCCTCTTTCTTGCTTTTGTCACCCTCTTTCTTGCTTTTGTCACCTTCCTTCTTGCTTTTGTCTCCCTCCTTCTTGCTTTTATCACCTTCCTTCTTACTTTTCTCGCTCTTTTTACTCTTCTCGCTTTTGTTGTTGTTCTTCTTCTTTTCCTTGGATTTGCTCTTGGACTTGTCTTCACGAGGCTTGGAATTCTTGGATTTTTTGTCCGCTGAATTCTGGATGCTCTTCGATTTACTTTTATCCTCGGACTTCTTTGGACTGCCTCCGGCACTTTCGACAATCTCCCGAAGTCGACCAAAGGCTTCTTTCACCGAATCTGAGTTCTTGTCATCATGAGGTAAAAGGCTAACGATCCTGAAAATATAAAGAGTGTTATTTTTTACGTTATATATAATATAACATGATCAAATGCTGTGTTTACTGAGGAATGTCCTTGGTGATAAATTCATCCAATTTCGCCAACTCCTTGGGATCAATCTTCTTCCACAACTTGGCTTGAGTGTGGCTACCTTTTTCAATGAAATCCTGGATAATATTTTTATATTACTTTTCCATTCTCGGGTCCGACCTACATTCACGTTGGGCATATCATGATCAGTGACCCCGAGATTTCTCTGGACTGTGGCAAAAGCCGTGCGAACAATCTCTGGTCTCAAAGTATTTTTTGGAGGATTAATCCCGCCCGAGGCACCCTATAATAATAAAATATAGATATGAACGCCATGATGGTCATTAAATTACCTTGAGTTTCATCAGTTCCGTCATAATATGGCCATGAAGTCGGACTCTCTTCGCCCTTTTGATGACGTCATTCACTTTTCGAGCCAACGTTCGATTGGGTGTTGATTCGAGTTCATTGAAGAGCTCAAAGTAGTCGGCCTTGAACACACTCATCACATTTGGCTGGAAAGATGAATATTACAACTCCTTCGTCACGTCATTGTATAAAGAGAACTGTAATCATCAGAAATTATATTATCTTTACATTCTTCATCTCTTCCGTGAACGACCCAATAAAAACCTTGGGTACTTCAGGGGTGTCAATTATCTTGCTCAAGCCCCACATCAAAGCGCCCCTCACTCTGACCAATTCACTTGGACTAACACAATCGGCTTTGTTTAACACGATCTTCACCTTCTCGTCATTCCCATTCAGACTCTAAAGCAATACCAGTCAATCCGATAAATCCAAAAAAACCAGAAGGATGAAATAAAACCATAAAATGCCTTACTTTCAAAACCTCCTTGAACTCATCGCTCATATCCAATTTGGTCGTATCGAAAACACAGATGATCAAATCGACTTTGTCGGCCAAGAATCGGATGATCTTGGAGAAGTCGTAATTCCTCGATTTCACTTGTTTATCTCCAGCCAAGATGCCTGGAGTGTCTATGAGAGTCATGTGTCGAAGAACCGGCGCATCAACGGCAGCTCCGCGAAGTCGATTCTCGAAAGCTCCTCCAAATTGCTCCAGAGACTAGAAATGAAAAAAAAAATTAGTAGAATCGAGTTTTCCAAAAAAACCATGAAAGTAATCAAGCTGATTATTCCATCAGTTATGGCCACCTCACCTTGAAAGGAAGCTTCGGATTGCTGAGCAAAGACGCTCCCATCTCCTCATGGGGATTATCGCTGTAAAAGACGACTGTGAAGCAATCGGTGGTCGGCTCGGGCCCAATCATCGATCCAGGATACTCTTTGCCGACTATGTACTTGATCATCGACGTCTTTCCGACAGAGTACTAAAACTGGTGATTAATTTGTATTACAGTCGATATTACAAAAGAAAACGGAGGCAAAATGGGGGTTCCCGGATTGTATAAAACCCATTTCCGAGTCATACCTGTCCCAAAAACAAAACGATGGGTGAAGCACTAAACTCGGACTTTTGCAAGGACGGGGTGTAAAACTGGTCGTAGATGTGCCGTTTCTCCATTGGAACCACCTTGTTCTCGTAAATCAATGGCAACACGTCACCGACATTGGACGCCGCAAGGGGAGGTATCGGCTAAAAGAAAATTTACAATCATATAAACGAAAGAATTTTATATTGCAGCGGCCACTTACAATCTCCTTCGGTTTACCCTTGCACATTTCGACGGATTCTTATGACGGAGTGAATGGTGAAGCTGAAAATGGATTAAAAGAAAACTGAAGATGCTTACTCAGGTTCAGTGGATATGCTTGAATCGACCGGTCGATCTCCTTTCCTTCGTAAAAAATGGACTCAAACTGATCATTTGGTAATTGCCCCTTGACCATGCTCGCAAAGTACATTTATTGTGGCCGGAATAAGAAACTTTTTCTAAATTTTGCAGTTTCAGACGTCTCTTGCAGGGTCTTCTTATCCAAATAAGAAAGAACAAACAAACCGCTACCAAAAATCGACCAAAATCCGCGGTTACCGCAAATTATTTACATGACGAAAGACAACACTTGACATGGTGGTGTCAAGTCTCCCTATTCTTTCAGAATTATTTTATTTTTCCGCGCCAGAATTTCCGCTGAATTCTCTCCTGGAAATGAGCAACTTTGTTGTTCCGTCAACCATACGACAAGATAAGAAGCACAATGTACAGCAAACTTTGTATCGAGCTCTTCATGGACACCGCCAAGAAGTAAATTTTCCATTTTTTTTTGTTATTCTTCTTCAGAAAACGTTTTTGTTCAAAGATGTCATCCGTTTTGATGTTGTTACCGATCATATCCTGCCCTCCATGTGTCAACATGACCCAAATGAAAACGCAAATTGTCTGGTATGCTCTTCATGAAGATTTGTATTTGTTTTCGCATTTAGGTCTGTAAGTTCGAACGAGAACTCTCCTTGCCAAATACTCCAGATATGATCTTCGGTTCGAACGTTCTTCGACTGTCTTGTCAAGGGGATCTTCTGCTAGAATTTAATGCATTAGACGCTTTGAAACGTGTGGACTCCAAAAATTTGCCTGAAGTCAAGGTATTTATCAGGTTTTACTCGTAATTAGGTGTTGTAAGCCTCTAAACATATAGTTTGTTAGGTAGGGACAAGTGAAGCTTGGCAGAAGGCTAGAGGGAATCTCCCTCCGATTCCTAATGCATATGATTGGACCTTTACTTCGGATTACGATGGAACAATCCCCGAGAATATTCTTGTAGAAGAAACCGATGAAACAATTGATTTGGAAATGCTAAAGCGACCTGATCCAATTGAATTCATTGAGACCATACCTTTGTATGAAGATGAAATGGATGACAATGGTTCTACTGAAGTCGGTTTTATTTTTTCTCATCATTCTGTCGCTACAGCGGCAATGAGCGCACCGTCGCAAGAAACAGAGACATCGCAGCGCAAAATTTCATCTTTGCCGCGGCGATATTTATTTTCCTGCGACGGTGCACTCCTCGTCGCTACAGCGGCAAAATGTTTCGCCTTTTGCCCTGCCGACTGATAATATTCTTGGCCTTTCCAATATGTTTATTGAAACAAGCGTGTTGCAGATGACAGTCCGTGTCCGGGTGATGCCAACCAATTTTTTTATTGTTTGCCGTCAATATGTTCGGGTAGATCGAGTGCTTTTAAGGACGATTGACACTCGATTTTACAGTCAAATTGGTTGGAATTATATTATTCGAGAACAGACAAAAAGGGAGGCTCTGCAAAAAGATTGGACGCCTCAGCAAAAGGAGCATGCTTTAGACCCTTCTCAGCTTTGGCAGTATCTGCCAGTGGTCCATAGGAAAGCCCATCGGATATACTATGTGAAATCTTCGTGATGCTAATATCAAACGTTGTTCTGTTGGTTGTATTTTCTGTAAATTAAATATTTTTTCGGTATAAAGCATTGAATTCGTAGTAGAGTTGCAGTGCGTTGATCAGAGTCCGATAAGTGGCGTGCAGATAATCTATAGCGACTTAATGATTAGGCAAATTAATGCGTGAACGAATTTTTGTGGACATTGTATCGAGAATGCAAAAATGTTAAATTTTATGATTTTTGTTTCATACACACACCATAGACTCAACAACCAGGTGTTCACTGTTTCGCGCAATAAACTTTACTTTACAGGTGACATAAAATTGTTTAAAAATCCTACCTTTTTTCGTATCCGACATCACGTCAGTCGGCGCAGGTATTTTCTTCAACAAGGAATAAAAAGTTTGAAAGCTCCATTTACGTGAAATGCGGCCTTTAACGGGACCAAAATTTTTTTGAATTTTAATTTTTCAGGCTATGCGGGTTTTCTTGGAAGCTCATGAGACCCGCGAAACTTAAGGTTAAAAAATACAGTAATGAAAAGCTTTTGTTTTTAGAAGGAATCAAACGTTTAGACCGCCCACGGAATATTTTATTGTTAGATTAAAAAGACAGCGCTATTAACTCTAATTTTTATATTTTGTGTCCAAGAAGAGCATTTTATGTCGGGGCTGATTGCGTCGATGGGACAAATGACGATGTCTTTCCCACAACCACAACTCCATTCTTTTCCTCCATCCCAAAAATCTTTTTCAAGATCAGCCTTCTAAATCCTCGTCGGTAACATCCAATATAAGACATGGTGAAAATCATGCTAAATGTTGGGTAAAGGTAGAGCCAGCGCCACATTAGCGCTGTTCCAATTGGACGATAAGTGACTCCAATGAACACCTGACAAATAAATACGGGGGTAACCACAGCTACTGCGATTACGGCCATTTCAATCAAAAGAGCATTTATGAGGGTACGGTAGAGAGTTTTCGTCCGATCACTGAGACTCTGACTCCGTTTGTTTTGGAAGTTGTAGCATCCGTAGGTTGAATAAGCGCAGATCAACAAGCCAATCAATGTGGGGCCATATCGTTCGTAATTATTGTACCAGGTAGTCTGCAAACCATTAATTTGTAATTTTTTTAGAGTTTCAAAACACAGTAACATATACGTATTAATAAAAGTTAACCTACTACTTCCACGAGAAGTGGCTTCCCCTTTATGTATTCTGCTATTTTTGGATTTGAATTTCCGAACTTATCAATGTACATCTCGATGTTTGGAATGCTAAAGAGCGCGTCGATATATGTAAATGCCATGAGAAAGACCATGCATGGTATACAACCACAGAATAAAAATTTCCGATTGGACATAAATTGCACCATCTTTTGTTTTCCGGTTGTTTGTGCATATCGAAAAATAAACATCAGTGTTACACATGAGAAGTGTGAAACAAAAAACACATGGAACAGTGCGTAGAATAAGCGAACGACGAAATTATTATTCTAAAATAAACGATTCGGGTTGCCGGCTACATTCTTACAGGAAATAAACCGGCTAGGCCACCAAGAACTGTGACATCATAAGGAAACAACGGCTCGTCTTCAATGAAAGCCTTCACCATGAAGGTAAGCACACAGAAAGTCTGGCTTCCAATGATATACCTACAAAGATGCGAATGAGGTTGCTTAACAGGAAAATAGGGATACTCTTTGTAATCTTACCATTTATAGGCACCAATCTCCCTTGTCGAGTACTTTAAGATGACTTGGATCATAATCACATAAATAATAAAGTTGATGACTTCAACAAACCAAGCGTAGATAACCATGGCGTTCTTCACAGACATAGGGATAACCTCAACGTCATGATAGCCAACGTCAATGGCGTATTCAATCATCTCGTCTCTCTGGAGAGTTCTACCAGCGTAGGTACAAGTCTTAGAACCAGCTTTCAACACGTCTGTAATCAGCCTCGTAAAAGACTAACGCTTTGAATTCCAAAATCCTTTCCTTTGAAATCTGAATGTAAGAAAGGGAGTGGCATACAGGTGATTCAATGCCTAAAGGTCTGGTGGCGTGCCGTCAGATGACAAATAAACTGGAACCCGTAATTCCTGGTAAACTATCGAGAGACTAACTACACAAACGAGCAAAAATCGTTTCCAAAACAAGTAAGCATAATCTAACGTCGAGTGTAATATTATATAAGTTTATTCAATTCCGATTATTAAAAATTTCAAATTCTTTAGAAGACCCGAGATTTCCTGTTTTTAGAGGAGATAAGGAGTTGTTGTATTTGCTGTAGATTGCAATTATTTCCGGTTCGAAGCATTGAATCCGTAGCAGAGTTAGCCGTACTTCTTCCGTCGATAACGTTAAAAAAAGGCGGGCCCGAAAGGGCGCCACCCGAAAGAGGGGGACCGAAAAGTCAGTCTCCCAATTTAGGGATTTGGTAAATTCCCATATCCCATCTCCTTTCAATTGAGACTAAAGATAAGATCAGTATTTTTATACAGTCGCTAAAATAACCAAAATAAATTATCAAAAACATTGCTATAAAATTAATTGTGATTACTCAGGATTCCACAAACTGAGGTTAGTTGAAGCAGTAGCCAGAACATAGTATTTCTGATTGAATAAACAGTGTTCAATCGTGTGAGTATCATTGGTCTTGTAGGTATAGACAATCTGGCCAGTTTCTCGATCCCAACAGGTTAACTGCCCGTCAGATCCTCCACAAAACACATATTTGGAGTCCGGGGAGAAACATCCATTCAAAGAGAGTTTCTGAAAATATTCAGTGGTAAATTTTAAGCAATCGTTGATAGCAAAATCAAATTATTTTGGTTATTTTTTTTACCAACCTCACTGTTATCGTGCCCATATAACGTTGACATCAATTTCCCGGTGAACGCATTGACGACCCTGAGGAATTCCCCGTTCGTTGAGATCAAAATACATTGTCCATCAGGGGAGAAGGTCATGTTCGTCCATTCAGCGCTCCAATCATCATCTGGGCGGATTACAAAAGTGGCGAAGGGTCCTTTGTCGAAAGTTCGAACATCATACAACTTTATTGTGTCGGAATTGATACCGGCAGCAAAGATCAAGCCCTCAGGGTCAAAAGCGGCTATTGGTCTGGATGGAAGATTCATAACTCCCTAAAAAATATCAGGATTACATGGAGCAACCACAATTATAAAGTTTTAACTTGAGGAATACGAATATAAACTATTCAAGATGGGGGAAATAAAGTATTTTACCTGACATGTAGAAACACGAAGATCCCATAACCGCACGGTGTTATCCAACGCTCCAGAAAGAAACATCTCTTCTGTGGGATTCATACATAATGTTACCACTCTAAAACTATCAAGTAAGCAACGTTGAAATCTAAATTTCGATTAAAAAAAATCACTCACTTTTTCGAATGACCCACAAAATATCGCAGATATTGATTGTTTGACAACGAAAGGTACCTTATTGTATCTAAAAAGACCACTTTTAAGTTGTTATTAACAGTATTACTATAAAATTATTAGCGCATAACTTTCATAAAGCAACTGAAAGGCTAAAAGTATACTGCAACTTACTATCAACCTTGGTTGATGCACTGATCACGTCTTTAGTTCCGCGGACAAAATGGACAAGATTAACTCCATACTTCTTGCTGTTTATCTAAAAACAAATAAAAGTAAAACAAAGTAACTTACGGTTCGATTCTGCAAACCTGTTTGGATATCGTAAACGATCATACAATCATTATCATCGGAGCAGATTAGCAAGTTCCCATCTTCACTATAATTTAGGTGGTTGATTCGAGCTTTTTGGTCGTGGACTTGAGTTGGAAGCAGTGATTTTAAACCCGCAAGATCAACATAACGGGGTTGAAGAGTCTGAAATTGGATTGTAACAAAGATGAGTTATGTTCCTTGTGTCGTGTTTTACTTTATGATATTTCAAAACAAAGCAGCTTACCATTAGATGAATATAATAAACAAGTTAGATGTGTGGAAATGTGAGTCTTTTCTCAATGTACAAATACTTGTGGTTATGTGATCCTAGTCAATCCTCCTTTGCTCCTAAACAATAGCTAGCTAGGTGAAACTTACTGATTTTTGCAGAAATTATTATTTCTGTGGCATTTTGTCTTAAGGCATTCATCATTTTCGTGGTGAAACGCAACCATTGGTCTGGTGAAAATCTTATTTTTCCTTTCTTGATCGAAGGGACGTAAGTTGATGCAAGTCGGGAGCTCCTGCGGGAGCTTACTGTACGACTTGTGGTATTCATTCAATTTTATCATTTATTTTTATTTAAAATATTGTTTTTCGATTTCAGCTCAAAATTTTGTTGATGTAGAATATTTTCTTCTTTCTATATTATGAATGGCGCCCATTAGCTGTTGCAATGGAAGGATTAGGCATTGTGAAAGTCCTATCACCTGTTTCAGTTGTGTTTTTTGCAAGGAAAATATCTAAAATAAACCGGGTTTCATCATTTGTCCACTTTTGTTTTCTTTTCCCATTCTTTCGCCATGTTTACGGTCGCTTCACCCCTTCCTTTTTATTTTTGACTCGACTTGGTCTGCAGTTTGTAAAACAAGACAGCGGAAGTTTTCAAACTTTTAATTTCATTTATTTTTATCAAGATTTATATTATTATCCCACATTGGATAATAATTGTTTTTATTGGCTAGACTGTTCGAGATTTTGTTTGGAGCGAACGACTGCTTGACGAAAAAACAGGCGTTCCGGTCCATTTTCTCGTCTCTTCAGGTCTAATTTCAAGGAAAAATGAAGAGAAAATGGAACTTTTTCAGTGTTATCAAACGTTTTGTCCGAAAACTGAACCGCTTCTTTCGCTTTACTTGTTTTCGTGGAAATTTGTTAACAGATAGCCTGTTCTTTGTGTTTTCTGACGACTCGAAGACAACTCAGTCTCTTAATTTGTTCACTTCGTCTCAAAAATAATATTGTTCTTTGCACTTTAGACCAAGGTTTTTTTAATTTGCGAAATAAGTTTTTTTTTGAATGTTAATGGCATTCTCTACTATTCCTATGACCTTTTGCCGATTTTTATTATTTTTCAAGACGATTTTGTCCATTTCTTTGGCCTTTTACTGATAATCAATCTATTTTTAGAGGAATCATCGCCGAAGTAATCAGAATAGAATCCAAAACGAAGTCAATATAGCACTTATCGGGTCAAACCCACTGAAACTTCACTCAACTTGAGCTAAAACCGCCGAAAACATGATTGGAATATTAGTCCGGAGAACTGGAAACCTAAGCCGGTAAGAATGATATTCTGCTTATGATTTGTCGTTTTAGTTTCCACAGAGTCAATCCGAAATTCCATTGGAATAACAGACATGTCTGTGTTATCGAACCGCATCGGTTTTATGCCGCCAACGATCGAAGCAAGGTCGAAGAAACTTTAAAGATGCTGAAGGAAGACCTTGAACGACAGCAAAAAGAAGAAACTGAACGGAAGAAAGAAGTAAGACCTTTAATTTGATATTCTGTAGCTTTAGAGTAAAAAAATGATTTAAAAAAGCAAAAGAAAATCAAACAACGATATATTACACCTGATGAAGGTTATCAAAAATTTATGTTTTATTTTAGAACAAAGCTTTGGCTCAAAAACTCCCGTTAAAGACCCGAGTTATTCATGAAATCAAACATTATTATCATGGATTCAGACTTTTGGTATTGGAGACCAGGTTATCAGCCAAGTATTTATATCGCTTGGCCCGTGGTGATACCCTGACAAGGAGAGAGCGGCAACAGATGGTTCGGACAGTCTCCGATCTGTTCAGACTCATCCCATTCTCTTTCTTTGTTATTGTGCCATTTATGGAACTTGCTCTTCCATTCTTCATTAAGTTGTTCCCCAGTATGTTGCCATCGACTTTCCAAGAGCAGTCCAAGGAGGTGAGTATTACGTTTTTCTCTTTTGTTTTTAGGTGCTGTATGATGTGTGGTGCTGATTTTTTTGTTTTAGAAGGAAAAGATTAGAAAACAATTGAAGATCCGTCTAGAAATGGCCAAATTCCTTCAAGATACATTGGAAGAGATCGCTCTTGAGCGTCGCAAGAAGGAAGAAGGCTCGGCCGAAAAGTCCAAAGCTTATGAATTTTCTCAATTCTTGAGGAAGGTGAGACAAGAAGGAGCTCTAGTCACAAATGAGGAGTTATTCAAGTACGCCAAGTTGTTTGAAGACGAGCTTACTCTGGATAACTTATCTATGGGGCAGTTGCGAGCTTTATGCCGAATGCTTGGAGTCCAGCCTCTTGGAACCCCTGAGATCTTGAGATTCCAGTTGAATCTGAAGTTGAGAGAACTCAAAGCTGATGATAGGGTAAGTTATAGTTTGGTTTTTGAATTTAAATTTAGATTGAAGATGATTTACGGTCTAAAATTTCAGTTAATCATGGCTGAAGGAGGTGTGGATGCCCTTTCAATTCCGGATCTTCAACAGGCTTGTCGTCAACGAGGAATGAGAGCTATTGGTGTGTCGGAAGATAGGCTGAGGTCTCAGGTAAGAACTTCTAATTGATACGTTTTTATTGTTTTAGCTCCGACAATGGCTTGAACTCTCCCAGAACGACAAAATGCCCCCGTCGATGCTGCTTCTGAGCAGAGCCCTCTTTTTGCCCGAGGACATTTCATTCTCAGAACGTCTGAAGAAGATCGTGCAACAATTGCCAATGGAATTGGGAGAACAAACTAAGCAGAAATTGACCGAGTTGGAAGGAGGGAAAGTTGATCCAAAAGAACGTATGGCTTTGATCAGGTCGATTGAAGATGGACTCAAGAAGGAAAGACAAGAAGCCAAGGCTGATGCTGAGCAAAAGAAGAAGGCCGAAGAAGATAAGAAGAGAGCAGATGTGGAGAAAATGGAAGCTGAGAAAGCGAAGATTGAAGAAGAAGATAGAAAACTTAGAGAGACCTTGGAAGTGGAGAAACCAGCTGTGGACACGGCGAAGGACATCAATGAAGTCCTCCAGACGGCTCATGATTCTGTGAAGGATCTCCATGTTAGTGGCACATTTGATAATTTTTATGCAATATTTTTGAAGACTAATATTATTGTTTTAGGCTGAGGTTGCCAAGTTCCATAACGTTGTTCATGAAGAAGCCGAAGCTGAGAAGAAAGCCAAGCCCGCGAAGATCAAGTCAAAGGAATTGGAGGCTGTCGAAGATGTTCTTCACGGCTCCCACATCAATGAAGCTCGTCACGACATCAGCGAACTCAAGGAGAAGGTCATTGAACACACAGAAGATCTGATTGAAGTCAATACTTTGGCCGATGATTACACTGAGACCAAGGTCGCCAAACGCCTAAGGGCAAGAGTGAATTCTATGATTGCTGGAGTTGATACTCTTGTGGCCAAATTGGAATCAGAAAGAAGACTGATTAATAATAAGGATGGTACTGGAAAGGCCGAGGATATTATCGAGGCACATGAAACTGATAAGAAACAGTCAGTGAAATTCTTAAATTTAGAGTTTTGTGAAATGCGAGATTACTTTTTTGTTATTTTAGAGCTCGGTTGGTGAATATTGCCGATTTGTTAAACTCGTTGTCGAGCCTGAAGGAAGCCAGTGATCTAGCTAAATCTACAAGGATAGCCGAAGTCCTGAAGGCAATGGATGAGGACACTGATGGAAAGATTGATGCCAAATTGGCCCTCAAAGTCATCGAACTCTTGGGAAAACATGGGGATGTCGAGATTAGCTCTTCTCAAATGCAACATATTATTGAGCTGATGAAGAAAGAAAGCGCTGTGGAAGGCCTACAAAAGGATGAGCAACTTCAGAAGTAAGGTTTTGAATGAATAATTAGGGGAACTCGAGATTAGATTATGTTAGATGTCTAGTGAAATAAAAAATAATTGTAGGAATGGAGTAAAAATCCTTGAAAGAGTTGTCCCTCAACTCTTGGACTTTGGTCACCACGAATTTCCCATCCGAGCAGCGAATGGATCGGACAAAACCCCTCATCCAACATCATCAGAGGAGATTGTAAGGTCGGATAAGGAAGATTACCCACCACGGAAACCGGACCACAGTCCTCATCCAACTCAGTCTGAGGAGAATGTGAGGTCGGAAACGGAAGATTACCCTCCCAGACAACCTGACCATTCCCCTCATCCCACCCAGTCAGAAGAGAATGTTCGATCTGAAAAGGAGGATCATCCGCCAAGGAAACCGGACAAAACTCCCCATCCAACAGACTCGGAAGAGGTCGTAAGATCAGAGCAAGAAGTCGATGGAAAGATCCCTCCTCCACCGCCAGCGAGGTTAAGGTCTAATCAAGCCAAGGTGGAAGGTAAGGTCAACAGAATCCAACATTCTCCACAGCCCACCGACTCTGAAGAGATTGTCCGTCAAGAGAACGCGGGGGAGGACCTTCCCCCACCCCCTCACATCCCTCCGCCTCCGCCTCAACTCTCAACCCGACCTCCGCAAAAATAGGTGAACGTCCTTGTTGTAGCGCATCTCCAATACAGGGTCCAGACTTTCTAAATAAGCATATGCATGCTAATGTATAAAGTAAAGTATATAAACCGATAATATTTGGTTGGATATCGGATTTTCTGAACTAGAAGTTGGCGATTGGTGGATAGTCCAAGAAGATTAGGTCTTCATAGTTTTGGAGCGGTTAGCTGGCGTTAATTTTGGCGATGCCTTTTGCAAAGGCGACCGTGGCCCAGGCTTCGGTTTTGGAGAAGACGACCGAAGGGATCCTGAGGAAGCAGAAGCGAGAGTTGGACGGCGAGTTGACGGCAATGAAGCTAAAATTATATATCTCGATAAAGTGACCGCTCACAAGTTTTTATCGTAGCAGATGTTCTCCTCCCATTTTCAGCAGGCTCTTGGGCCATGGCCTCCCTTGACGCCAGTCTTTCGCGATCCCACGTTTGCCTCAGTTGTCGTCGAAGGACGGCTCCATTCATTGTTCTGGGAATGTCTGTTACAAAGAAAACCCCGCCTCGAAGTTCCTTGAATTGGGGGATTTTACCTGGAAAAGTTGATGTAACGTTTTCTGTAACTTTTTGACATGACATACCGGAGATATGCTGTCGAACCTCGGCGGTAGACAACACTAAATTGGTGGAGGATTTGACGATAAAAGCGGCCGGAACCTCTCCAGCTGTATGACTTTGTTTGCAGACGACAGCACAGTCTTCTATTCCCGGATGAGCTCGAATATTAGACTCAACATCAGTGGGGCAAAGCTAAGTATAGAAGTATATAGATTAGTATTAATTGCACTTACAACAAGCCCGCGGAATTTGATGATATCTTTGATCCTATCGACCACGTAAATGCATCCTTTTTCGTCAAAGAACCCGGCGTCACCTAAAAGTTTAATTAAATTCATTGCTCCACGCAGCGTATTTAATACAGTTACAAAATTATCTTAAGTTTTGATGACTTGCCTGTCCGAATATATCCATCATGAGTATCCCCATTATGTTTATTCTTCTGATTGTAAAACCCAGTGGAAGTCCAGCCTGGCTTTTTGATACAAATATGACCCACTTGCCTTGGAGCACACAAATTTTTGTTGTCGAAATGCATAATCTACAATACAAGCATATTGTCAGTGTATTTCGCAACATAATACCTTGATCACGTATCCGGGTAGAGGAGATCCAACGCTTTCAATGTTTTCACTGCAGAAATGAGGAAAAGTGCAGATTGCTCCCATTTCAGAAATGAGGTAAACTGAAACAGTTATAATTGAAATATATGTACGGCTCCAATGAAGGTGTTATGATTTTTAAACTGGTATCTTTACTTTGCCTCAAATCTCTGATTGCCAATCTTTCTTTGCATTTCTTGGCTTCTTTCGAATATAAAGAAGCTCCGCCCACAATTAGTGTCCTCAGATGTTGCCGGAGATTGACATTCTCTAAACTGAGATCAGTTGCCAAGAACAAGATCATAGGAGGTGTGACATGAGCGTACGTTATCTAAAAAATAATTATTTCCTAAGACGTCGGCAAAAAATTCAAATACCATTAAAAAGCCAAATTCACCTTGTAATCACTGAGAGCCCTCAAGAAAACCTTGGACGAATACTTGTTTACCAATGTCAATTCAGCCCCATTGACAAGCGCTTGATACAACGACAAAAATCCAAAAAGATGATGGATATTCAAGGGCAACAAGAACTTGTCAGTTACCCCCGGAGGCCCGTAAACACTTAGTCCAAGTTGCATTAGGTTGAGGATTATTTGCTGATGAGAAATGTAGATCGGCTTGGAAGGCCCGGTCGTCCCGGAAGTGTAGAAAATAAAGTAACCATTGGAGTCATCAACGTCGACAGGGTCCAATGGAGTCAACGAACTTTTGTTCGAATGGACAACAAAGGTTGATTGGGAGGTCATAGAAGCGGTGTCAAAGCTGGATTCAGAATCAGCAGTGGATGAGGGCAGTTGGACTGGTATTCTGAAGCGGTTGTAATAAAAAAATTCATGGAATTTTTTCTAACAAAAATTATCCTATCCACTATTTTTTTATATGAATGAGTAGACATTAACTCCGAAATCTTTGGAGGCAAATTTTTCTAAATTATTCCTTCCTTTATTTTCAAAGTCTCACAAAAATCTGTGAGTCCACTTTCGACATGTCCCAGGATCATCAGAATCAAGTAAAAAAGCACTTACATAGATTTACTTTCCCTTTTTGTCAGCCTGCTTAGACTAGTCTCTCCCAGGACTTCTTCCATTTTTCTGATGATCTTAACCCTTCCACTGTTTCTCATGATCGCTCTTCTTTTCACATCTTCCATTTTGGCGGTGAATTGACTCTCCAGGATGGCATGAGTGACTTCTGCTTGGTCGATTTGATGCCATATTTCGTCTAAAACAAAAAATATTTTAAACCTTTTTGTATAAAAAGAAATGGAATTGTGCTTGGACCCCAGTGTTTGAATATCTGAGTTCCATGATTTGTTTATTTGTTCAACAAATCCTCGGCATTTACAAAGCCAAATGGATAATGTTTATCCCTCTCAAATTCATAATATTCATCGTTTTGATGGCCAAAACATTGTTTGACCAAGTCCATTTCCGCTGCTCTACTCAAATCCTTACCCACTGAGAGATTTCCATTCACGCAGACCAACCGGCATCCCAGCTGAGCGGATGCCAGATGAACAAAGCAGCAGGCACTACAATTGGAGGCGATAAGGGCCACTCTCGTGTTGTTCTGAATGCCCAACTCCTTGAGGCGTTGAGTGCAGAGGTTGGTGATGGAATTGAATTCGTTGAACTTGGTTTCTTCGAGGGTTTCGGCGTCTCGCTGAAAAGTCATAAAGTTTGTTTCATAAGAAGCGTTTTGTTGTCTTGATCTCAATTAAACTTGGTGCTAGCTGAGATTACGCCTATCTAATAACATAAGATGATTGGCTTATTTCTAGCTTGCGCTTTGTATTTATAAACGCATTATAATAATGTACATACAACTTAAAATTGATGATTTATCCAAGATTGATAATTTTGGAGAGCTTGTCAAATTGACATTGCTTTTGTTGTAAATATATTTGTAAAATCAAGAGTTCAATCTCTGGACACACGTTTATTCTAGTTTTCTTTTCTCATCTTATTTCTTTCTTGTTTTATTCAAACCCAACTAAAAGTAAGTTGAAAAACAAACAACCGGCTAGTTCACTGCAGTTTCTTTTCGACCAGACTCTTGCGCGAGGTTTTTTTCTACCCAAAAATCTCGGAAATGGTCCCAATAATAAACTTATTTATTTTTGCTTACCAGCGCTACGGTATCTCCATCGTATACCGAGATTCTGTCAAAAATATAATCAGCGAAGTTTCGAATTGATCCTCGGATATCCAAATCGACAATAAATGGAGATTCCACTTGCATTTATAATAGAGTATGTTAGTAGTAATATAAGTAACAAAGGCTCAAATATCCAGCTCTGATCCCAAAACTTTTGTTATGTATTTCCGGGAATTGTGGTCATCTCAGAAATGCATGAAGATGCCCGTCTTTGACTCTTTTTTATTGATAATACAGGGACGGATCTCACTTTCGTATTCATCACTCTTCAAAAAAAAACTTTTAATCGCGTATTTACATATTTTACTTTTGTGGTCCTCATCATTATTAACTTATTTTTATAAACTAGGTTAAAATATTTTCCTTTTAGTTAATGTACCGTCATCGTGCTGGTATCGAAAATGTTGAGAATCGACGTAGAAAATTGATAGATCAATTTGTGTTTGAGCTGGCTCAGCTGTGGGTTGTGGCCAGATGTAGATGCCCGGTGATGAAGGGGTGGCACTCGTTATCACATTTGGATTGTTTTTCGGTTGATCCATGGCTGGTCGATGAATTAAGGACTTGCACAGAGAACCTGGTTGATTCGCTGGACGGGAGGAACAATAATAAAGTCATCATGAGACCAAGGCAAGTTTAACATAACCAAAACCTCAGAACTTGTATAAATTCGACCATTGGATCCCTTTGAACCATACTTGTGACTCTGAAAAAAAAATTGTAAAAATTTACAATTTCAGTGACGCAATCCGATGGAGACAGAGCATTGAACGTCGGTTAAGCCGTTGCTCCGAAAGTTCGGACAGTCTTACAAATATCGTTGAGCCAGATTCTCTATGCAACAGTTCGAGACGATAAAGAGATCGACATCAGTATAAGCTGTTGTCAATCTCAATTCATGCAGGTCAAACTTCAGAGCTTTTTTTATTTATCCTGAGTTCGAATACGACACAAAAATATAATATTACAAATATTCGATAAAAATATTTTATTTTGCTTGTGACATAGCCGTCGTTTATATGTTTTGGATTAAAACCGCTTATGCAATTTAACTGGGACCCCTAATGTCGGTGCCAAGACAACCTCAGTCGTCTTAAGGTTCTTTTCGAATGGAATATCAGTAGTTATTTTGAAATTATGGACAAGATGAGCGATCATAAGCTTGGCTTCTCGTTGGGCGAACTTCTGGCCAATGCAGTTTCGAGGACCCGCACTAAATGGAATATACTCTGAAGGGATTTGCCTTCCATCAGCAAATCTCTCAGGATCAAACTTTTCTGGATCCGGGAAAGCCTAAAATCATGCTGATTTAAAAAATTTAATATCAAATCTACCTTGCTGTTTCTATGCAAAACCAAAGGCGAGATTTGTACAGTAGTTCCCTTCGGAATTGTAAATCCTCCCATTTCTATTTCATTTACAACTTCCCTCTCGTAGATTGGAACTGGAGAAAAGATACGGAGTGCTTCTTTGAAGACTTTTTCCAAGTACGGTAAAGACTTCAGTTTTGGCGATACAAATTCATCATCTCTCCCACTGAATTCTGTCTCTATTTCTTGATGCAACTTCTCCTGGACGTCTTGATGACAGGCTAAAGACCAAATCGTCCAACCAACAGCGTGAGAAATTGTGTCGTGACCTGGAATGAAAGTTAAGACAGTTAAATCGGGATGAAAAGGAGCGCATTCGAATTTAAAACGTTTGTAATAAGCTAAGAACTTACCAGCAAACATAAAGGTGTCAACTTCCTCTCGGAGATTCTCAAATGGAAGTTCCCCTTCGGCGTAGGACTTGAGCAGGATGCCCAAGAAATCAGGTTTTTGAACTTCGTGAAATTCACCGTGATCTTGTTGTTCCACCCTTTCTTTGATGACCTAAAAGCAAAACCAGGGTTTTATTGGCACTCTTAACAAATTGGAAGCCCAATTTTCCATTAGATCTAGTTACCTTGTCCGTCATATCCTTGAGGATATCCAAGGTTTTGACGGTCTCCTTTTCATATCCACTTAGCTTCCATCCCAATTCGTTGAAGAAAAAGTAATGTGGCTTTTGCGAAGCAATAACCGCCAATTTGTTGAAAGTTTTCACTGCTTGGACATACGGAGTCTCTGCATTCCGCTGGGCATCCAGATGAACTCCCATGGCTGTTTCGGCAATGATATCCAAGGCGCAATTCTTGATATTACTGAAGATATTGGCATCAACTCCATCTTCAATTTGACGAAGGTTTGAGACCAGAGTCTAAAAAAAAATTTTAAAGTCTAAAAAATGATAAAAAAGTCTCACTCTGCAGTGTCGATCCATTATTGGCGCGAATTCCTCAAGTTTCTGGAAATGGAATCCTGGTGTGACCAGTTTCCTTGTTTTATGCCATCTCTCCCCATCCCCCAAGAGTAAGGCCGGGCCCAGCCACCTTTCAACGAATTTGTAATCTCTCCCTTTCTTTAATTCAACAGAACTATTGGTAATCACCTAAAAGGTAGTGTAACAAACAAAGTCTTTTAATTACTTTTACTGCATCTCCAGTTAGTGGAACTACTGTGAAGTCGGTGAAGAACCAAGCCGACATAACAGAGTGGCCTTCATCGAGGGTCTTCTTGGCAAAATCAATATAGAATTGAGTGAATTCTAAAAGTTCAAGTCATCATTTCAGTTTATAATTAATTAAAGTAATCCCTTGTAGACAAAAACTACAAGCACTTACTCTCAAATTCCAACGGCACATATAGAATACTTCCAATAAAAGGGACATGCCCAAAGTTAGGAATATTCCTGGCGACTTTTATTTTATACAAGTAATCTTTGAGCTCTTTCAAATTAGCAAAAACATACAGAATAAACAGCGCAATAAAAATTTGAAGCCACATTATTTCTCTCGAAAAGGAGTTGAATCAAAGATAGCTCTGATAAGATGTAAACCTTTGCAGATTAGAATGAGATAAAAAGAAGAGCCTTATATACCAGTCAAAATACGCTGACGCACTGTCAATCTGGTAGCTCAATGAAACGGAGGAAACCTAAACAAGCTCTTGCTTCAAAAAATACACTCTGTTCTGCAAAAATAACACAAAGCATGCCTTCTTTTCAGCCTTTATACTGCCTCGTTTGGGAAGTTTATGAGAATTTGTTGATGAAAAACAAAATTAATGATTATTGCTTTTACAGAATCAGCTTTCTTTTACTGGAAATGTCTACATTTGATGAATCGGATAGTTGGGGTATGTGATTGTTTAACAGCATTTGTCTCTCTGTCTGTCTTTGGGTAAAACTTGTGTGGTATTTCAAATTCCAGTGGGGTCCTCTAGACTTTGTCTAATAGTGATGGAGCCAATTATCTTGTTCCAAACTGTTCATAAACAGTTTTCATAGTTCTTTCATAAATTTCAAAAATATAAGATCCTCAGCTTATTCCATAAAGTGTGGACGGATGATTGGTGAATAAAAATCGTTGAAATTTTGTCCAAAAACCACAAATTTTAATTGGAATCCCTGCCATGTTTCTCAAACAACCCGTATTCCAGTGTTCTCGAATACGGAAGCTCTTTACCCGATTAGTTCTTACAGCACTCTTTAAAGTACATTCTTCTACAGTTTAAAACGTGCGTTTCCATAATTCGGGCTGTTAAAATCAAGGAAGAAAGTCTTTTTTACAGTAATTTCTTCCGGTCATTGGATTCTTATTACAGCAACATCATGAGTTTTTGTAATCGCTGATACGGTCATATCACAAATTTAGGTTACCGGAATTTTTTGTGTCGTGTTCATAAACTGAATTTGTGATTATACCTCTAAGCCTAATCGTTGGCGAAAGTTCACAAAGGCTTAGTACCTTACTGTAACCTACAAAAGAAATATCCGAATCCAATAAAATATCGTAATCTGATCCTTTCTCCCCTCCTCCCTTCCCCGATCATATGCACACAAAAACAGGAGAGAGAAAGAAAGCTACAGTACTCGGAATCGGAAGAATCCGAGAGAAACGAGGAAACGGCTGAAGAGCCTCAAAAGAATGACCGAACTCGACTCCCAGAATGACCCTCCATCCTGGAGCAAATGACGCAAAAGCGAACTCATCACCCGAAATGTCGGCGAAACAGGTGTGAAATGCGCCTTTCCAAAAGCGGAGGCCCAAAAACAAAACCGAAATATTCAGATGAAGAAAAAACCGCCGGCGACAGAACGGCGCCAAACTTCTTTCCTCGCTGGCGCCGCACCGGAAAGCGAGAAAAAACAGCGAGAAAAGACGGAGAGGAATCGGTCGAAACATGGGGCTCGCTGTTGTGCAATTTGTCATCTAGATTGGGGGTTTGATTGACAAAATTATTTCACGCTTTTTAGCACCCATCAGCGCTGATACGCCGAGGCGGACACGTTATACGGTGAGAAGCGTAGCGAGGAGAGGAGGCGCGAATTCGGTGTCACGTTTAAAACCGCCGCCATCGACCAGTCGAGGCGCTGATTCGATTTGTAACGGGCCATTGAACGGGGTGATGGAGACTGATTCCGATCCTTTCATCGGTGGTCTGGTTATGCTTTCTGTGTTTTTCTTACAAAATATATTCTTTGTTTTTTTGATTCTGAGAAATCTGAGTTCAGCTGTTGCTTGAAGGTGGTTGTAATTCAATGGCCAGCTTTCCGTTAAACTTGGCTTCCCAGAAATGTCGCAAAATTATTCTGTAAAAGTTTTAGTTAGCTGTTATTGTATTATTTTCGGCTGAGATATCCAGCGAGCTTACCAGGCAATACATCAGACCATCGAAAGATTGGCAAGAAAAAAAATCGCTTCGCCAAAAAGAAACATTTTTATAGGAAAGATACGCCAAAATTACCTTGCCTAATTTTAAAACAAGAACGGATTGAGGTTTTTTGTCACATTTCGTCATAGGAGATTTATAGCACTTGTAAAGAATCGGCCTAAAAACGTTTGGGAATGTGACTTGTTATAATCAAACCAATGCATTCGAAGCACTCAGCTGATAGATTTTGATCTCCTAGCCTTAGTCTGCTCTTCTCCGCAACATTCAAAGACCCCTTTATTGTCATAATAAATTACTTGACCCCAAATTTAACCTTCCTTTGACAACGTCATCGATCACTCGTTGATTTATTTACCGTAAAGATCGCTGTAAAAAGTGTCTGTTTTGAAACAAACACTTTGTTTTTTCCGGTCTTGACAGGCGCCAGCGTGTATCACTGTAATCATCCTGTAACTGAGGGTTGTAACAAACAGACAGACGTGTTTCCTGGTTTTAAAAGATGTCTGTCCTTGACAAATTGGATGTTTTATAGGGTGGAGATTAAAAGGGACATTCGTGGGTGAAAATGATGATTTGAGGGCCTTAAGGTGAAGTGGTCACGGTTACTGTAACTGGATAGATTGACGAACAGATGACGGTTGGAGTAGTTGTAAGACCTTTGTAAGACCAGAAAAGCGAATTGTCATCATGGTTAACCAGTTTTTTCAATTGTTCCAACCTTCCTACTGATGTTTGTCAATCGCTCTGTAATTCTCACAATTTTGTAAAGAGACTGTGATTGCAAAACCCCTGAGGAGCCGTCAACAAATCCTTGACTTTCCGGCGCCACCAATCTCCAGCCATCAATATCGATTTCCCCGTTCGTTTTATATAATCAAATGTATTTTTTGTGAGTCAATGAAGCGATAAGAAATTTTCACTCCAAAAACACCGTCCGACTTTTCGATTTCCCCCACTTTTCTCGGGTTTGGAAATTAACCAGAAGTTAATTTGTGTGGGCTTTACGGGTATTGCGGGTTGAATTTGGAAGTTGTCAAACCCATAAAGGCTTAGGACACTAGAGTTCTGGCACAGCATAAATAGGTTTTGATGCTTTTATATACGATTTTGAGAGGTTTTTATGTTTACTAGAATATACTATGTAGTATTCTCTGCGGAATGTCATATTTTTAAGTTTTACGACCTGTAAATGATTAAGCAGATCCCTTCAGGACCCCATTTCCCCTCTACATGCCATGACATCGGCGCATTTCTCGATGGATCACTCCGGCAATGGTGGATCCACTGGTTATGCTCCTATTGCCAGTCTACCCCCAAATTCAATGAATCAGCCCCATTTCCAGCCCGCTTATAATCCTCAAACATCTTCGGCCGCCCATCAAAGAATGTTTGGGCAGATGCAAATCAATCTGCCTCCTCTGCAGACTTACCAACAAAACTATTCGAGTAATGGGCATCAATTTGTAACACCTCAAGCGCCCCCGGCAAGACGAGAGAGGACTAAATTTGACTCTTTCTTAACACAAGCCAGTAATTCAGTAGTTAGACGGCTTGGATGGAAACAGGGTATGCATAAGTTGAACTCGGATTGAGTCTGTTAGAAGGTGGTTTTATAAGCAGTATGGTTACAGGTGACGAAGAAGAGAGCTGGTCCAAGAAAGCCATCGACAGTCTAGTCAAGAAGTTGCAAAAACACAACAAAGAAGCGCTTGATATGCTGGACAAAGCGCTGAAAACTGAGGGCCGTGAGCCCAGTGACTGTGTCACCATTCCCCGTTCCCTAGATGGACGCCTTCAAATCTCTCATCGAAAAGCTTTACCCCATGTTATTTATTGTCGTGTATACAGATGGCCCGATCTTCAGTCGCATCATGAGCTCAAGGCTATTGAGGTAAAGCAGTTAATTGTTTGAGTAAATGTACCATAACTCTTCTAATGTTCTGAAAATATTTCCAGTCGTGTCGTTTTTGTTTTGAAAGTGGCCAAAAGGAAATTTGCATAAATCCTTATCATTACGAGCGCGTAGACTCGGCATGTGTGCTCCCGCCGGTGCTGGTACCCCGGTACAGCGAGCCTCCTCCAATGGACACGCAATTACAGCCTGTTCAGCAGTTTGGAAGTGAGTTTTCCTTATTCCCGGCTTTTCTTTAACTTTTGTCCACTTTGCTGTAAGTCAAACAATTCTTAAATTACTTCATTTCTCATTCTCCAGACTTACCCTGTAACGTAGACATGTCCAATGGCAACAAACTACAACTCCCCTCAACTCCCCATCAACACAACCCTTCGTTCGGCCCATTTACCTCTCAAAATGGCCATAATGAGAACAATTGTGAACAGAATTACCAACAGAATGTCATCAACCGAGTCCCTGTGCCATTTATGCCGTGCAAACATTGGGCGACGATCAGTTATTACGAGTTGAATAATCGCGTTGGAGAGCAAATTAGAGTCTCCTCGAATACAATTTATATCGATGGATTCACCGATCCAAACACGCAGGATAAAATATCACTTGGCCTGTTCTCAAATGTCAATCGGTAAGCGTTGTTTGTGATATTTTACGTTGTTTTAGATGGCAGCGAATTATTAAAATTCTGATTTTTAGAAACACAACAATCGAAAATACCCGGAGACATATTGGAAAAGGTGTAAAATTAACATATGTGCCATATCAAGGAACTCTGTATGCAGAATGTCTCAGCGAGAGCGCCGTTTTCATCCAATCCCGGAACTGTAATTACATCAACAACTTTCATCCAACTACTGTCGTCAAAATTACTACAGGTTATTCGCTAAAAATCTTCGACACCGGGAAGTTTGGGGAGGTAAGAAAGTTAGCGCAGCAATTTTTAGGATTATTAAAGCAGGAAGAGTTGTAGTATATATAATACAGTTCTCAGAACGGTCTAACAGACATAACGAAAATGTTTTCAGCTGCTAAATCAATGCGTAAACATGGGCTTTAACAGCAGCTACGAGCTGACCAAGATGACCCTGATCAGAATGTCATTTGTTAAAGGATGGGGAGCTGAATATCAACGGCAAGATGTCACCTCAACCCCCTGTTGGATTGAAATTCATCTTCACGCTCCTTTAATCGTAAGATAATATCCTGCATTTTATATTCAGACTCTGCAGTTATTAATAATAATATTTTCAGTGGCTGGACCGTGCATTGGCCAAGCTAGGCCCTTCTCCCGACCCCATCTCTTCGATTAGCTGAGATCTTTGTAATCATTTTTTATTCGTTTTAAGTTCGTTGCAATTTCACCAAAGGTGACCATGCGTTTACGGTGTAAATCTTCTTGGAATAAATTTCTTATATCGTTGCTTTCCTCGAACTTTCATTCTTAGATTTTAAAGGCCAAAATCTCTCACTTGAACTTTTATATTATCCATGAGATGAAAGCTTACAAAAATGAAGAAACCGAATCTTTGTGCCTACAAATCGCAGAAATTTTTGATCGTCTGCCTATTTCCGCCACGGTCTCTTCTGCGCCAAATAAAGCTTTTCCTATGGCAGAGATTCCTTTGCATAACTCGACCCTTGATTACGCAGAAATACTTGGAGTAAATTACATCCTCTACTCAAACCCGATTACCGCCATTACATTTTAATTTTCGGTCGTGGGGAAATGTGGCTCGCGGAAATCGAAGGGACGCTGTGGCCAGGGAAAATTCAAATATGAGTTGTTTCTGATGGCAGCGGTACCTGAGGGATATCTGGGGCGGGGAAGGGATAAGAGGGGGGAATTTACTTGGCAGAAAACCCCTCAGAATATATTCGTTGTCTTTGTGCATGATGGTGTTGCTTTTTTATTTCGCTCGAGGTACCGTAATAGCTTCAGAGTTCCCTTTACAATACCCACTTTAATTTTTACTTCAAGCAGTTATCAGTAGTGTACTAATAGGCATACAACATTTTTTTACCATGATTGAAGTAACATATTTGTTCTTGTCGTTAAAATTTTTGATCTCAATTTGAATCTTCCACCCGTATTTTAGACACCCGATACCTTTTTATGACGCGAAACCCCTTTTCATTTCTAATCCAGCGGCAATTTCTTGGCCACGATTTAATCAATGTGGCGTTTCGTCACAGATAGAATTTTGAAAATACCTTTGGCTGTTTTTTTTTCTTGGCTAGCCGGGATAAAATTTTTTTTGCTTTCTGGTCAGAAAATAACGTTTTACTTTTTTTTCTTGATTATCTAACACCAATTTTGTCCTCAAAAAAATCTCCGGAAAACAATTTGATACCTAAAATATTTTTGGTCAATCGATAGTGCGTGGACGAAACGTCTAATCCAGGAAATTTTGTCTCCTTTTACGTAATTTAAAGTAATCATATTCGATATTCCAGACCCAAGAATGAACGGATTCTCTCCTCAACAGCAATTTCCAGCCGAGAATTCAGAGGAAACCCCAAAAATACGCAAGAGGAAGCTGGAAAATGACGAGAATGAAGAGCCGGAGAGCAAGTTACCGGCGAATGTAAGTCTCCAAACTGTAGGATCATTCCTTTTAGATCATTTCAAGCTTGGCCAGTATGGTAGATCAAGCCGGCAGTAGCTCCATGGGAAATTACAGTATGTATCCCGCGTACAACGGCTCATTTAACATGAACTTTGGCGGGATGGATCCTCAACAACTCCTCCAGCCATACAATGGAGAAGGAAGTTGTGGCCAGGCAGTAAGTTGAGAGTTATCTTTTAATTAGTTATGCGGTGACTTGGATGGGTGTTGTGACGAAAAAATTTTTTTTTATTTTTTTTTTGATGATTTTAGGACCCTTGTTACGCAATCATCAATAAAATGGCATGGTAGTCGTAGTCGGTCAGATAAACTTTTGTAAATTTAATTTTTGTGCCTGATTGTCTACTTTTAGCCATTTTAAGGCCAAATTTGACGGGAATTCGGAAAAAATATTGCCTTTGGATACTTTTCGGTGCTGAGCACATTTTTCTAACTTGTTAGTTAATTTTTTTTTATTGCAAGTGCTTCTGATCAACCCTTCAGGGAAGATGCATTTTTTAGGTAACAAAAAATACGTTTCTTATTGTTAAGTTCGGATTTTGATGACTCTTCGCTTTTCAATAAACGCTTTCAGTATGCCCAAAGCACTCCTAATCCAGCTACTTTTGTCAGCCAACAAGCCCAATTCCAACAGAATTATAATATGTTTCATAACTACAACCCCAACCTCTTCAACAGCCCTTTGACGGATAACACTTACTCCTCGAATCAATCCCAGCCTTACCTCAACTCAACCGACTCGGGCCTTGGGACTAGTGGAAGTATGGGAGGATCTCTTCATAGTACCGCCAACTCAGAGCTTCAGGATTTTTTGCAAGGTGCAGAAGGAGAAGCTACAGAAACAGTCGGAATTGAAGTTCATCCGGATGACGTCAAGACCAAATACGACGAAGTTCCTGGCCGTTTGGCACTGTTGAATGCCAATGTCAAGCATACTGTTACGTTAGCTGAAGTCAAGAGGAGATTGGGACATCCAGAAGGGTTAAACATGTCATTAATTGGAGGGTATTTGAGGAAGTAAGTTAGGAGTTTTACTTGTCATTATATTTACAAGACTTTTTATCACGTATTAACTTTAAACTTTATATTATTTTCTTTTCCAGAGCCAAAAACAAAAATGGCGGGCAAAAGATCAAGGAGCAACTTTCACAAGCCGGGATCTCAATCCCCTCAGGCAAAAGAAGGCAAACGGATCCGACAGCCTTTACAGCACTTACGGAGAGCGAAACCAACACTTTGGTAGAGGATTTTGATGCCTTAAATCGAAAGTTCTTCCCTCAAGAAGCTTTTATTCAAGAAGTTCAAGCCGAGTTTATGAAACCTGAAGTCTACAACGCATATATTCAAATCCAACAAGGCTACCTGAATCCTCAAAGGGCTGTGGAAACGGTTAAGTTTGTTCTGAGGATCTGCAGGAACATTATGCAGAGGGATCAGTCGATTTATGAACACAGGGGCTTTACTTCACCGTATGGAAAGCTTTCACCTCGATTACAACATGATTTGGAGACGTTTAATCTTGTAAGTTGGTTTTTTAATACATGAATTTAGCTTTTTTCCTCATTCTGTTCTATTTTATAATCATCTATCATACCTAATTTTTTTCTTCCAGGTAACCCACGATTTTGCTGTGCGAGCATTTACATCGATGCTGTCAGCTCTGATTGGAGAGACAGAGCCCGAAGGTAGCTTCGATATCCCAATGTCACTCCAATAAGATTCCATTTTTCATCAGATAGATAGTAGATATTCTTTATCCATGTATTTCCCGCGGGTTTCCGGGTCTTAGGGTTCCAAATCTCAATGATTATCCCCCGATCTCGTTTTCAGAATTAATATTAAATATGCTCCTTTACCTCATCATAAAATACGACCTCATTTACTTTCTTTGTTCGAGTTTATTAGCAAATTTTTGTATAAAATAAAAGTTTTCATTCCACCTTTTTGGTGTTGTAATGTTGTACTCGTTTTTTGTGAACTCCCAGCATAACAAACGGGACAAAGAGTTGTTTGAACACCCAGAAACTAATCAGAGTTCCGAAAGCGATCTGAAAATAGAGCAGGAATTGATGATTCAAATATACAATTATTGAAATTGTAATGGTTACAAAACATTATGGAAGAAAATTCTATTTTTTGTGATTTTTGAGGGTCATTATCTCACCTGCATGTCATGAAAGAAGCATCCAGTAGACAGTCTGAACCTTCCAATAATGTTGACGGCATATCTCGCATATGTCTGAGGATCAATTACCCAGATATCATTCGCCTCTTCCTTCTCATAGAATGCGATTTTGGTCGCGACAAGAAGAGGAATCAAACACTGAATCTTGACATTGGTATGGGCAAATTCATCGGCCAGAGTGTCGGAATAAAAGCTGATAGCGGCTTTGGAAGCGGGATATGTGGACATGTAAGGGAGTGGACGCCAGCCCTAAAATTGAAAGCAGAACATTATGGAATTCCAAATTGACAATACGGTAGCAAAAAGCTTTTTTACCGTCATTGAAGCGATGTTTACGATGATTCCTTGGTCTCTTTCCAACATTCCAGGGAGAATCGTCTCAATCATTCGAAGATTTGACATCAGATTTACTTTCATGATTTTAGTGGGTAAGCCCTGAGGCAACTCCGAGAAATTCCCGACTTCTGTTGGGCCAATTCCAGCACAATTTACTGAAATTTGGATTTTAGTCATCAAAAAAGTTTTTTTTTTGAAAAAGAATCTATGTGAATTCTTACTCAAAATTCCGACATCCAGAGTCTTCAATTCGGCTGGAAGTTTATCCAGATCATCCTTCTCAAAGTCGAAGATCGCGGTCTTAATCTCACACCCATATTGTTCCTCTAAAGTTTCAAAATAATCCTAAACAGAGATCCATGACTCACTCAATTCATTGACAACAACCTCCAATTTCTTTGGATTCCTCGCAATCAAAAAATACTTTCGAATCCCCCTGGTCTTACACAACTCATCGATGTAAGCCCGACCAATTCCATCAGTGCAGCCCGTAACTACTGTCCATTTCTCTTTAAAAGGCCCCAAATCCACTGGTTTTGCAATGAAGTGACCATAAACACTGTACAAAACGATGTAAGAGAATTTGAGGAGCCTGAAGAAGATGTAGGCCAAGACTGCCTGCTTGCCGGCCCACAAGAAGGTATCACAAATGCATGTCATCTGGAATGTGATGAATTAAACTCTAATGAGCCTTGTTTGATGACATATGAAATATCACGGCCTTTTCTCGGGTAAAATGAAGAAGGTCAGGCAAAAACTTTGCAGAAAAAGCACTGAGGTTGCAATAACAGAGCAATTTGGTTCCGGTAGACCCTTTCTTTTTGCTCGTTATAAACGAATTACTCGCTAAATTTGATTTGAACTTGATTTTATATCAGAAAGAAAGTACAGACTTCCTGTACCAATATAAAACCAAACCATATAAGAGTGAAGAAATAAGACCGATTTTGAGATTTTGAAAAAGACGCTAAACTTGTTTTCTCGAGCTTTTTTCTCATGTCGGCCTCATTTTTTCCATTCTATTTTTTCAAAAAAAAATTAGGAAAGCGTTTTTAACGTTCTGCTTGGGAACGACCGGTGCGATCTTATTTCTTCACTCTTATATCACCTCAGTGTAAGGTGCTCACACCCACCAAATCCGTAAAAACATCTTTGCCAAGAGCCTCTTTCATCACCGTCTCTGTATTTAGGACCCATGAAAGAGGTCGTTCCAAGCCGTAAAATTACAAGAGTTTAGAACAAGACTTGCGCAAGGTTATTGTCCGCAGCTCGGTCTTCTCTTTCCCGAAAACGAAAACACAAATTTCCCGCTTTTATTTCCAAAACTTTAAGTGCCGCGAAAGCATCGATCCGTAAATCCTTTAATGGAGGTAAAACTGAGGGGTTGGGGGTAAAATACGGAGCAAATTTATTCTTCACAATTTACCGGATATTAAATCAAGATAAGGAACTCAAAAAATCAAATCGCTTCCACCTAAATCCGCAAGGATACTCAAAAACTTTCGTCAACCCCGAAACCCAAAGTTCGAAAAACATCATCGCGCGGAATGCACCCAATTTGGAAAGCAGACCCCAATTCGTATCCGTCAAGACATTGTTGTTGTGCTAGAGATCTGATTTGGGCGGCTCTCATCATTCAGCCCCTTTTTTATGACACACGGTCGGTCAAGGTCAGCGACCGAACGTCCGACCGAAAACAGAAAACTGATTGGAATCTTTACGTGTTATTAATTGCAGTTCGTTAACTCTGGGATTGTTTTTACCATCAGAAAATGGAAAAATGGTGCAGAAGGAGAATGTAGAGTAGTGTAATCCTGGAATGCATAATACAGCACAAATTCGCAAACCTCCAAGAGCCAATCCATCACTCTCAAAATACAACATGGCGTTTTAAAAATATAGTAAATTCTCTCTAACTCAACCGCGAAAACATTGAACGCTAAAAATTGATGGCGTTCTGTCAAATCTAAAAATTTATTTTTGCAAGGAATGGTAAAGTACAAAGTATGTCGGTTTTTCTGAAAAACACAAGATCGCCATGAGTTTATACGTTTATCCAGCTTTTTTGGGCCTTCCGTCAATGGATTCAGCTTGTCTTCAGTTCTTGGTAGGGGTAGTATCTGATTTCTTTATTCTTTTTTGTGCTTTTAGGCCGCAGCAAGGTTTTCTGCTTTGGAGGTTACCGTCAATGCAATAAGTATGCCCTTTCAGAGTCCCACAGGTATGTCTTTATTATTTATTGCATTAAGATTACATAATGTTACATAATGTGGCAGTTTTTGAAGTTTAGGGACACTTCCTGGGTACATAAGTCCAGAAGGCGAGCAAATTGTTGACTTCGAAAAATTTGTGATACATCTACGGAAACAGCACGATGGGATTCAATTAGATTCTGAGCTTACAGATGAGCAAAAAACCCAATTCAACACATACGAAGCCTTGTTGAATAGCCATCTGATTCCAGCATTGGTATGCCGTTGTTTTCTGCTATGATTCTTAGAATTTTTCAGGAAGATGTCTTTTTTATGGATGAATTCAATTATTCTGCGTTTATGGTCAATTGGTATTCAAATTACGTCACTTTCCCCATGAACATCTACTATCTCAACAAGCGAAAGAATTGCGCAAGAAAAAGGGTCAAACTGACAAATCGGACGTCCACAGAGCTGCTAAATCGAGGGATCAATGTAAGGGAGCGTTATCTTCACGAAGAACATCGTTTTAGACAACGTATCTAAAATTTTATCTCTTTGTTACCTAAAATAATGTTAACTTTTCCAATTTTAGGTGCTTAACATGCTGTCAGCAAAACGAGGGGAGTCCAAATACTTTTTTGGCTCGAAACCTTGTTCATTCGATGCCATGATCTTTGGATATATCGCTCCGTTACTCAAAATTCCACTTGCCAATAACAAATTACAACTTCATCTTTCATCTCTTCCAAACCTCACTTTATTCATCGAGAGCGTCATCAATATATACCTTCCTTTGTCCATTGATGAGGTTTGTCATCGAATTTAATATATTTTTAGATTATTTAGGTCTCATATCAAGTCCAACAACATACCAAGTGGATGGCTTATGCGGACAAGGGGAGAAGACGGTTGCAGTATCAGAAGGCAGCACAGCAATTGGAGAAGATTGAGAGAGAAAAGGCGGAGAAATCGGCGAACAACAAGGTGATTGTGTTCTCGATGTTATCTTTGATGGCTTCGGTTCTGTTTGCTCTTCATACTGGGATTGTTCAAGTCCAAAGTGAGCATAAACATTATTTGAAGAGGAAAAGATAGGTGCTAAATATTGTGATATAACTTACTTTATCTAATAAACTAGCTAGAGTAAATCGTTGCACAGAAAAAAGGGTGATTTATATTTGCCGGACGCAAGCAAAATTCGGACCACTTATATTTTTCAGATTTTCAGCTCTTTGACTGGCTATTCAGATTTCCTTTGAATTCCGTAGACAGGTTTAGAAGTAGCCAAAAATCATTTCTTAAACATACATACAAATACACCGTCGTTTGAAGTAATCTTTATTCCAGTAACGCTCAGTTTCTCTCTCAGTCAGCGTCTTTCTTGATGGTCTCGGCTGACCCTCCTCCCTTCATTCCGCGCACTTCTCCCTCCTTGATCTGTTTCCTCAATTGTTCGGCCGTTTCGGCTTCAATCTTTCGGATCTCCTCCAAGGTGAGTTCATACCAAGCATCGATCCAGCAGAAGATTTCGCGATGGAATTTGGTGAAGAGGCGAGGATAATTCTTGTGGGCCGTCCTCTCCACCTTGGACTGAAGACCGAACCATTTGAAATGGACGCGACACAACTTGTAGCAGCACATCAAAGGCTGCGTGTTGTTCTGCCAGCCTTCCACAAGAGGGCCTCGACCAGTCTTGGTCGATTTGAAGGTCCGGGGATTGGTTTCTGGCTTCGTATCCTATAAATATTACATTGATTCATCTAAAAGTTTGATTCCTACCCTTGGAACCAAATATTCTTCACTCCAAATGTCGAGCATGACCACCTCTCGCTTCTTCAGCTCGTCCTTGCCAATACCCAATGCCTGAAAATAATTTTGGTCGCAAAAAATTATTTCAAATTATATCACATTAGTTTTTTTGAACTTACATTCTCCGTGGACCCGTTGTCGGCCAAATGAATGGACTCAATGACGACAGAGAAGTTGCCCTTCATGTAACCGGGGTTGGTTACGACCGTTTTGCAATAGGGATAGGCATTCCAACTCTCTTCATGAAGGAAGCCGGCTTCTTCTGGGAGCAGCTAAAGGCCTCAATTAAAATATAAAGGATGGAATACCAGAAAAAATTGGTTACATAGCCGACCTTCTTGAAAATCCAGGGCATTTTGGACTTGAGGTTGTAGATCTTGTAGGTGTACATGCCACTCAACGTCTGCCCGGGACGAACTTTGTCGCTGGTGAAGGGCTCTTGCTTGAGGATCTGAACTTCTGATCCGAATACAGCATAATCGAACTCACCTCCACTCCTTCTCCACCTCCCGTCTCGTTCTTGCTGGCTTCGGAAACCGAATACAACTGACCTCTTTGGTATTCATCAACGCTCAGTGGCATCGGAATTCGATATTCCTAGAACAATATAGTCATCATGGACAATGTCGCTTACCTTGATCAGCATGGCTCACCCAGTGATTCCAATCGGAGCACAACCACTCTCCCGGAACTCCGTAGAATTTAAAATTGGAATACTCAAATTTCGAAAATAAGTTTACATATTTATTTTTTATCAAGTTGAAAGGTACAGTAATACAAGGCATAAAATAAGACAAATATTTAGAGGATTTAATAAGGGATGTCTTCTCCATTCCGGTTAATATATCTGCCAGACCATTCTTTCGTAGCCTTAGATACAGTATCGACGATCGCTGTGGTCGATTCCTCAACTGTCAATTGAGCTTTTTCTCCCCCCATATCTGTCTGAACCCATCCTGGACACATGGCCAATGCAACAACGCCTTCGCTCGCTGGATCTGTTCCGAATTGTTTGGTGAGGGCATTCAAAGCAGATTTAGATGCAGCATATCCACAGGAATGATGAGGGACAGTGGCACCATTCAGTGTGGCGATCGAACCAAGTCCAGAGCTGATATTTAAGAGCCTTGCAGGCTTATCGGCAGTGGCAGCTTTCTTCAGGAGAGGTAAGAAAGCCTGAAAAAGAAAGGAAGGTCAAGTATAATATCGGAAAATTTGATTTCAGGTCAGCAATTTTGACTAAGACTTTTCAAAAGCTGAATAAAAGCAATAAACTCAGAAGACCTTCACTTACCGCTTGGCTGATGGCTACACCAACAACATTTGTATTGAAGACCAAAAGAAGGGCATCTCTTTTGGGGTCGGTTATAACAGTATCATCTGAATGGAAGATTCCAGCATTGTTGATCAACAGATTGAGCCCTTCATCCCCGACAACGGAAGAAACCTTCTCTACAGCAGATTTGATGGATTTGTCGTCCAACGAATCAAATTGGACAATCTGAACCTTGGGATTGGACTTGGCCAGACTTTGGAGACTCTAAAATAATGTTCTTTGATGCCAAAATTGAAAAGAAATGTGATAGAAAAATTATTCATTACAATGCAGCCTACCTCAGCCTTTTCGGGAGTCCTGGCTCCAGCAAAGACCCGTTTTACATCAGGTCTTTCGATCAACCTTTGGACCAAACCAAATCCAATTCCACGGCTGGCACCGGTCACAAAAACGTTGGCTCCGACGTATGACATTTTCCTGAAATTTGAATGGTCAATAATACGGTGACATGTTTCACGCAAATTTCATGACAAGATCTCAAAATCACATTGTTTTAGGCATTGTTGATGGAAAGTCGAGAAAAAGGAAGAAAAAAAATAAAGATGCCAGCGTATTTCAAAATCGTACTCGATGTGTTTTTTCCCATCTTCTCGCATGCGAAAAAGCCTGGAGGGGTTTGCGATTATCCGGCTAAAAATGAAACCTTTTTTCTTGACACTTCGCAAAAAAAGGAAAATTTTTGACGAAATTTCATAAAATGTTTTCCAAAAACTTTTATTTTTTCGTAGCATAACTTTTACTAAAAGTTGAATGATTTTTTTTCTATTTATACTATTTTAGCAACTCTGAAACATTCTAGAACCTCCCCCTTTACGCTGATATAACGTTGCTCCACAACCATGGTCCATCCCCTCAACCTTTAAAATGGAAATGCGATTGATTGGGGCGCTCTTTTCGTCGGAAAAAAGTTTGTTTCCCCTTTGAATACTTATAGTTTCTGTTCTCCAACTGCCGGATCGTTATTCTGCAGTCCTAAACTAGAAGTTATATGTATAACACGAGCGAGGAGCGAAAACAGAACAAAAAGTCATCCAAATCTTTCCTGTGCTTTGGACTTTGGTCATTCCATAGATTTGCATTCAAGTTGCGGGTTAGAAATGGTTTAAAACAGTTCATGGATAATGCAATTCTCTGGTAAAAATTGAATTTTATCAAGGAGCAAAAAGAGATGACTTTATTACAATCAGTAATTTATTTTCTCTCCAAATCGATTCACAAATCTTCCACTGTCATCCTTCCCAGCCTTTGCGATAGTATTTATCATAGTTGTAGTGGATTCTTTAACCGTAAACCGTCCAGCTTCCCCTCCCATATCGGTTTTACACCATCCCGGACACATGGCCAAAGCGATGATATTCTTGGCATCTTCTATAGTTGCAATTTGCTTGGTAACATTGTTTAATGCAGCCTTCGAAGAAGAGTAAGCAACGGCAAAGTCATCCCAAGGAGGAATGGAAGAATTGAGGTCTTCGGATGATCCTCGCTCAGAGCTTACGTTGAGGAGTTTCGACGGGCGGTTGAAATACTTAGCAGCTTGATTTAGGAGAGGCAGGAAGGCCTGTGATAGATTAAGAGTGAAATCAGTTGAATTATCGTCGTCAGACATCATTTTAAAATATATTTTATTCAAACTCACCGCCTGAATCATAATGCATGAAGTTACATTTGTTTCGAAGACCAAAGACAGGGCTCTTCTGTCTGGCTTCGTAATAACCGTTTCTTCCGGCATAAGAATCCCGGCATTGTTGATCAACAAGTTTAGCCCTTCATCTCCAACTTTGGACTCCACATATTTTACAGCAGCCTCAATTTGGCCATCATCGAGACAATCAAGTCTTAAAATTCTGATTCTCTGGTCAGCGTGTGCAAGCTTTTGAAGAGCCTGGAAAAATCTAACTTTATCATGACATTGTGCGGTAAACACGCGAAGTTGAAGACTGTACCTCAACTTTCTCCGGATTTCTGACACCAGCGAAGATTTGTTTCACATCTTCTCGCTCCAGGAGTCTTTGCACCAAACCAAATCCAATTCCTCGGTTTGCTCCGGTTAAGAGAACGTTAGGTCCAATGTACGACATTGCCAATATGAATACAGTTTATAGAGATCATTGAGGCTTTTTATTTCGAGACTTTTACTTTGCAGTCTGGTTGTATTTTGAGATGGAACTACAAGTCATAAAGCAGAAATCACTATGTGCATACATCTTTATGTTTTGCTTTGAGAAACGTTTTGAAATCAGGTGAGAAGTGCTTAATGGAGGTAACAATATTTATATCCGTAATAGAAACCGTTGAAGTCAAGAAAAGATCGTACAAGTAATTACAACATTAAAATTGATACTGTCCATTATGAGGTCGATAAACGTTTCTCATCTCGTTGTAAGGCGCCATATTGCCTTGTGAGGAGATACAACTATATTCGCCTTCAGCCATCATGCTCAAACTTTGCAATTCCGCTGATCCGGGGGTCGGAAATTGGCTTTCTACATTCAAAAAGTATTCCCCCTCAGAGCTTGAGGTCGATGTGTTTATCAATTTTTTTTGTTGTTGTGTCATCATCAAAATCCGAGGAGGAACATTGTAAAGATTGGCGATCATATTGGCAGTAGTTTGAGAGAGTCCACAGGATAATATTCTGGCCGATTCCAACGGGGAGGGCTCCACATTTCGTTGAAGAGTCATGTTCAACATGTTGATGTAATTCCTGAAATACATAGCACGTCAAATCTGCTGTAAACACCACTAAACCCCAAACCATTGAAAAAATAAAGCATGCAACACAAAGGCAAGAGATCGATCCTTGTTGCGGATTTCGATGGCCCGATTAATCCATTGTATTTGGGCAATCTCGACCCGAATCAATCACCCAATTATAAATTAGAGTAATGAGCATGACAACGTATAATCAAGTGAGAGATGGGACCACTCTATTATGCATGCAGGGCTCCTCAAGAGAGACAAGTTGCTATTGTTTCGAGAGGGCAGTGAGGTGAGAATTGGCGCAATAATTAGGCAGGTAAATAACGGGGATTGGTTAGGGGGTGGTTAATAAATTTGGGATTAGAGAAAGCTTTTCCATGATTAGTAATAGTTGACGCAAGTAAAGTCTCAAAACTAATTGTAGACCAAGGATCTATGGACGTGAAGAGATACATTCAAGTATCTTGAAGTTACCCTACATATTTACATAGTGTGATCGTTACCCCAAAATTCAATATGATCCACACTCGCTGTTTACCTAAGCAATCAATCCGTTACAGTCCTCAATTTGCAAAAATTACTTGCGCAAACAGTCGATTACCCAAAACATATTATACATACGTAAACATGGCCATTTGATCTCCTCTAAACGGATTTGGGTCAGATTTCGATCAAGAATAAGTGGTTTCCGGACAAGTGGAAATGGTGGTTATGAGAGGTGAGAGACTATGAATTAAAAAGGGCAGGGGAAGGCAGAACAGGTTACGGTAATTAACGGACGTGTTTTATTATGCATGGCCGAGGAAATTGACTGTGACAAGCAATTTGGATGCGTGATTCGATATGAATTATATATTTGGAGGCTATTTGAATACGCATTATTATTCGAAACTGCAATTTTTTAACTCGATTTTTCATTATTTCTTCCACAATCCCCTGAATCTCTCGGAAATAATAAAAACAATCGAACGGCCCTTATAAAGCCCCGAGTCCTTGGCCATCCTTGAACGTTCATGGCCACGCATTATATTGCACTTGATTATGCGCATTCTTCAGTTTAATGACCCTTGAGTTGGGGACTGGATAAAGTGGGGGATTATGATGTTACAAGGTCCCTCAAGAGGCGATTACAATCCTAGATTCTTCAGGAAAAATACCGTAAAGGTTGCTGTAAAGGCGTCACAACTAGTTTAAGTCTTTTTGATTACCTCAAATTGACCTGTCAAATATGAGTTTTGATCGAGCATGAAATCCGAAACTGTAATGTGACGTTATTGGCCTAGCTTCCCATTGGATCGGTCAAATGTCGAGATTACCCAACTATGGCCAAGAAATGACAAATAAGGAAAAGATTGCGCAACCCCGGGAAAATATTTGGATAATTGGATAAATTGTGCTATAATCACATCTATGTAACCCCGAAAACTTTTTGGGAGAATACGGTAACCCTTAAGTCTTATCGCAAGTACTATAAGTATTATAAATTCAGAAAACTTACGCTGCCAGCCTCAATGTTTCGATTTTTGACAGTTTCTGTTGTGTGGAAAGCAATGGCATCCTATCCCGCAGTATGTCCATTGCTTTGTTCAGCCCATGCATCCGATTTCTCTCACGATCGTTGGCTTTTCTCCTTCTGATAATCTTTTTGGTCACACCTTCCGGACCTTCGCAGAGTGAAGACATTGAAGATGAAGAAGGAGAAGAAGTTGGTCGGGTCATAGCTTCCTATAGGATTGGCTTCAGATCAGAAACCTATGGCCTCTAAAATAGACATTGTCAGTCAAATCATGATACCGTATAGTAAACATAATCACGAAATATACAAGCCGTTTATTCCCGCAAAATCCGACCACCAAATGACAAAGATCTTGATCGTGTTCGGGCCCCTCGGACAAGTCGGCCAACCCCTACTTGTCCCCGATTTGGGATGGACTCGGGGATTGTCCCATGGTGAGTCTCTTTTCCCTTTTGTTACCGAGATTTCCCTTCCGAAATTAGCGATCATTCGGATGCATGGAAACCACGCCCACCTTATACAGTACATGAATATAAAATACGAAAAATGTTTGCAAAAAATAAGACTTTACATTTGTGATAATCTTTATAATCGGTGGTGATAAACAACAATCCTTTCAGGTCCTAAAAATGCTGTTAAGATTTCGAAAACTTGAAATAATTAAAATCTTATCAGAGCGCCATAAAACTCTGGGTTCTGATGGAGAATAATATTAAATACGGCCTAGAGATCTCCTATAACAGCTTTCATTCATTGCGGGATGCATGGCCGCAATCCACGGCCCACCTTACATCGCGATCTTCTCCTTGTTCTCATTGTTGCATCAGAAAGACAACTCCTTCTAATTACATCTGATTTATAACTGGATTTAACCCGTTTAATTATGGATAACGGGCGTCTTCCAACGAATAAGTTTGCGTAATAGAGAAACTTTCAAATAATAACCGTATGGCCTTTATTCCTTGGAATAAAACTTTTTAATCAAAGAAAATGAGTTGCCAAAATTTGGGGTTTCCCTTCCCAGGTTCTTCAAATCTTTTTTGGGTTTCCGTAATTAGTTCGCTATTGTCTATTTACCGCAACAGGTACCGCGTCTTGTAAATCCGTTAAGAAAGCATGTCCCGAAAGGGAGAACGGGATTTGGCTTTTCAATATCTACACCCGTCCCGGCTTTGATCCGATTATTTAGGGGCTCTGGAAGAGGATCAAAGGAGACTTCCGAAAATGGAAGAACCAAGGGAAATATTCGTATTTTACATTACAATTTTATTTATATATCATTGCACCACTAAAGCCTTAAATTGTGCCAAAGCCAAATTAATGCCCACCGTATTCTCCCCTATAACAATCCATCACCCTTTCCCCAAAAAACTCGAGAAGGATTAGTACCATAAACTCATCAATATTTTCGGAAACGCTTTTTGAAATCCCGACATTGACACCTCGGGATTTTGTCCTCGGTCTAATGAAGTGAGAAGAAAAGAAAGAAATCACTGCGGGATACGGTGGCGGCTTCTTTTCGCTTATGGTAATGTCATGGGATCGCTTTAAAGAGAAGCGAGCGAAATTTGCATAAACGGTCTTAATACAGTAGTATTGAGCCGCTTGTAGATTTGATCCTATTGCCTAAATTTGATGTTACAAAGGCCAAAAGAGCCCGGTAATTGTTGCCATTTCCCTCATTGCTTTTCTTGTACCTTTTGTTTTTGTTTCGGCGGGTCAAAAAAGGAAAATACGGTTAAACGGACAAATTAACCTAATAGTAAATGCGGGAAGGTGCATCTGCAGTTAATAATAACTGCCGCACACAAAAAGGAAGCTGACAAATCTCATTATAAAATACGGTCTTTGGACTTGGATCAAAGGGAGGGTGACAATCTTCCTCTCTTCTCCTTCCGGTGTCATAATCTTAGTGGATTAGGCGCGTCCGCCTTGGACATAAAACATGCGGTTGATTATGTAATTAGAAGCTGGATGAGTCGGTTATGTCTTCCTTATTAATGCAAAATCAAGTACTCTTGTTTATTAATCTCTTTGGTAATTTTGATGACATTTCAAGCCCATTTATAATATAAAATGTATTTGTATAGAGGTCAATTTAGATTAGAATATTGTGGACATTGCAGTAAAAAAAAGGTTACCCGTGCTTCCTATGACAAGATAATCAATGTTTAGAGCATTATAAGAAGGGAAAAGATCAAAACAAAGGATCCGATTATTCTTATAGCTGAACTCGGCTCAACATCACAATTATGGGGCTCTCCATGACGTGCTGCTGTACAGATCTCGGCCATTTTTGCTTTGAGGTAAGCTTGTTCGTCAGTTCTGGAAAGACCGTTTGTTAGATTGACTTTAATTTAGAAAAACGTTTGTATTAATCATCTTGCAGCAATGCTTACCTCTTCTCATTCGGATCCATCTTCGGCTTCCAAACATATTTGGTCCCAGGTTTACCTCGAGGGATCTCCCTTGTTCCATTCTCACTGCGAAGATGCTGTATTCGTCTATGGGCTTCGTGGAAATCGAAACAAACTTGGAACCAACTCATAGCCGAGAGCCGGAGCCGATGGAAAGATTTGAACTGCGTTATGTCAAAGGCACTTCTATAAGACTATCGATAACACAATAAAACGACTTGAAAACAAAAAATAATTGAATTCACCTACCGATAAATACAATGACCTTTGCAATGCGTCGACCGCAACACATGATCTTCCCCGTAGAACTGTGAGATCTCGGATAAAGTCTGCTCACTTCGGGGTTGCCGAAACAGGATCAAGACTGGATAAATACATTTCTGGAATTCCCCGGGGACCGGCGGAACATATGGGGCGATCTCATTTCCTTCCGCATGAATTGTACCGGCAGCCAAAGATCCGGCCGGGATATCCGATATAAACCAATGCAGATAGTGACGATGCGGATCGAACATGACCAGGGTAAAACGGTCTTCTTTTAGGGCTAAAAGAATCTGGTATAATAAGCCAGCAGTCGTCTTAAGATGGTGTTTGAAGAACTCGTTGTATGAACTCAACCACTCAAAGTTTCTTACCAATATAATGCCTCAGGCTCCTCTGATAATTCTCTGTTTCGTATTCAATAGATCTCATAGAAGTTACAGTGGGGTACTTTCTCACAGCCACACTTGGAAGGGTTTGGCCTGAGTCCAGCGGGTCAATAAAGATGTCTCTCTCTCTGAAAGAGTAAGCAAAAGGTAATATTATGGCATGGTAAGTCAGAATATCATAAAAAATACTTACGTTGTTGTAATTCTCTTACAGCACACTTCATATTCAACTTTCGGCTGAGAGAAGCTCACGGACAACGAGGAATCCATTTCCGACAGTGGGAAAAGCTCCGTAAATTCGTAGAGTTTCTCTTTTTGGAGCTCTAAAATTATCAATAAAATTTTTTAATCATAATTTTTGAGTGCTCACTTTTTTGAATCAAAGAATGACAGTTGTCGACTGATCCCTTTAGCCGTTGTCTTTCCATGGCATACGCATCAGAGCCAATTAACGCCCAATTCAGTCCAATCAAATCTAAAGATCTCACTCAAGAATATTTGAAAAAACAACTCACCTGACTCGAGTCCATGTTCCATCATAAAACTTGTTAAATCAAACACTTTTTCGGTATTAAATTTGGTCTTTTTAATTGATTCGGATACAAGATTATCTCCCCTGAAGACCAAAATGACCAATGGAGTTGGCTGATTTGGTCGAAAATTATCGATGGTATCATAATCGACAATAATTTTGGGATTCCGAGGATAGTCGACCATCAAAAATTTGAGGAGACCAAAGCCGACGTCGAGGAACATGATGACATTACTCTCATTTGAACCAAGTTCCGGCCAGGAAATCTCTGGGACAGCCCGACTGAGGAATGGCTGAAGAGGCTCCATTTCTGGATGCGCCATTACTTTGCTGCGATTGCATTCCACCACAAAATCATGGTCGCAACCTCGGTATTGACCTGAAACTTGAGGATAAGTTGGAGTTTTGGGTAGTGTCTCGGGTTTGGAGAATGGTAAGGTTTAAAAAAGAGATGGTCATACCAGACTGTAGAGTAAATGTCATCCTGGGAAATATTGCCAAGTTTTGAAGGTAGGCAGCGGTGAATGTCCTGGCCTGGAATAGTCGACTTCCCAAAGAGTGAAAGACCGAGAGCTCCCGCGGATTCAGACATCGGATTGGATTTTGCTGAAAAGGTAAAGTCAAAAGAGAAGTTTTTTAGTTGCAATGCAAAGATGTTATTGTCACTTTACGAATTATAAACATCTTTAGAGCTTTGCACAAGGCTTATTTTTCAATATTTTAATACAAAGTTGCGAGTAACATCCTCGTCGAACGACATCATTATCCCCAACTAACCTCTCTCAATCTAGCTGCCGAGAATCCTCCACAATTCATTTTCCATGCATCGCCAAACCAGAATTTGTTTGTCTGCGGGACCAATTTCCGTATTTTCTCAATGCAATCAACAGTTCTCACACAAAAGGCAGCATCATCATCAGCAATCAAGGAGAATGATCGTTTATGAGAATGCTGGGAGAGGACTAAGGATGCTGATAAAAGTAATTGAAAGAGTAATCGGGGGTTGATCTGGAGATTCATTTCGAACGATCCTTACGTGATGTTCATTTGAGCTGGAATATTTGGATTAAAATTCAATATTTTAGTCACCATGGAACGATAATTTAAAAAATCAAAATATGCGTGACAGCGTTGTAAAAGTAACAAAAATGGCATTTCTAGCCAAAATCTTTGCGAATAAATACATCGTATAGTATGTATATTATAGTAAATGAGATGTCTCTAATTTGGAGGGAAGACATACGAAAACGGCTCCCTCTTTCGTAAAGTAAATTATATATCATCCATTCTATGCACATGTTAAGAACATCCTTAGGGATTTTTATATTACATAAATAATGTAAATAATACTATCTTAAAAAGAAAAAAACGAAAAAGAAAATACCTGGAGAATGAGATTAGGGCTATTTGAGGGAGAGTAAAGTAAAGTCAGTAATTGGCACCAATATTGTTGGAAGAGAAAAGAAAATCATTCCTTGAGAGAGCGACAAGTAAATTTAGGAAAAGCGTAATGGAATTAGATACGTTGATATTAACGTAGATCATAAAGGCAAACAAAAATAAGGAATGGAGCAGAGGAACGGTGAGGTAAAGTCTTGATTTATCATAAAGGAATTAAGTCAGTTTCAGAAAGAGAAGACGAAACTGGCATTGATGCTGGGGTTTGTAGACCCCGGCAAAAATGTTAGACAATTGCTAGGATGACAGGGTAATGAAGAATGTCCAACATAAACGTTTCAACAAAATTTGTAGAAAGCCAGAGAACCCCAGCCAAATTCTATGGATAAGTGACGGGCAAGATAAACCAGCTTCATGATCTTAAACTGGTCAATTTTAATTACCAGGCACGCCGTATTTTAAAACTTGACTTGAAACTCTCACCTCAAAATCTGCATAAAGCAGAGAATGGAAAGTCAAAACAAAAGATCGCGCGGAATAAACATAGGGTACACGATCTCCAAAAGAATTGTTTCGGGTTAATTCTTACGCAAAAAGTAACGTTTCAGGTTTTAGGGCGTGAAATGATTGAGTGACCACTCCAAACTCAACTGGGCATATTTCAAATTCGGAACTAGGGATCTTAGACAAATTAGGACATAAAATTAAATAACATACGGAAATATAAATGTGACACAATATAACTGACAACATTCTCATCAAGATTAGGCAACCCCTGAAAACAATATGGAGGAAAAGTTGGAACAATTATAACCTTGAATGCTCCGACCACCCATTACGCAAATTACCTTTATCGGTAAGCGTAAAGGAATAACTCGAAACTCCGAATATTAGCAAAGACACCCGCCCAATCCAAACTTTACATATTACACAAAAGTCCCAAACCGAAATTGCATTTCGTTGTTTAATAATCGAAAAAATGGAATTGGAATGTAGAAGTCACGACACCAAAAACGACACATAAAAAGGCGGCGAAAACATTCCGCTTTGGTGAATTCAAACAGATTTGTTAGGATTTCTGAGGACATGAGATCCGGAGGCACTACTCGTTATGAGTTTTTGGTTTGAAAAAACTGTTCAAGAAATCTTTTCAAGACGTGCTTGTCAAAGGCCGATCATGTCAAACCAGACCTATATAGTGCAAGATATGATATATAAGGGTCATAAGAGTTAAGAAAAAAGTTTTACGGGAGTAAAGTTGAGAGCAAAAATGGGAAATTGATCAATGTTTGCCTTGCGGTAGGGCTTACTATGATAAAGTGCCGTTGTAGGATAGTACGGAGTAAAAAGTAATCAGGGAGAAAAAATTGTTTGTTTTTGGAAAAGATGGTCACACAAGAAATACAAATTTTTTTAAACTTGACCTGCTGAAAACCTTGTTGGTTAAAGAGTTCACTTGACAAAACATATGATAAATATACTCATAAAATACGGTAATTAAGTCAAGTCAAAACTCCGAGGCCAAAAATTATCTAAACTTTTATTTAACCCTTTTAAAATTACCTCATTACCGCATAAACTGTAAAATAACATGAACTGCGATTTTCATAAATCCCTGAGGAACTAATTTGCATAAACGCGCGCCTGTCCAGATTCATTTTCGTATTCTCTTTTCGCGCGCTTCCGTCCAACTCCCTTCTCTCCCCTCGGCCCTAATCTGCAAACAATATCGAGTTCAGGTGAGGGAAATTGTCTTGCATAAATTAAGGCGTTCGTTGAAATGAGGTACTCCAAACATATCAGCCCCAATTCTAAAGAATCTCAGGTTCAAATTGGGCCATTTTAAGTTCCGTTTATTTGGAGTTTTACCCAAAATAAACAATGAGGAAGAACCTGGATTAAGTCATCAAAAAAAAAAAGATCTCTCGACCAGTTCCGGCCGCACTTGAACACTTCTAAAGTCTAGTATGATATCAAGTGTAATCAAAGATATACAAACTCGTGACCACAGAGTCTTGAGAATCTAAAAAGACCTTCTAAAACCTAGATTTAAATTCAAATTTAGATTATAACACGCCTCTTTGTAACATCGGCCATGCCGTTCCTGCGGCGTCGTTTGTCTCCCAATCCCGCTCGTTTGTCAGTCCAATGCCTCTGACAGATGGTGTGCCATTACTTTCGCAAAAAGTTGAGTAAGTTTCGGCATTTTGGGTGAAGGTAAATTGCACGACATTTTGGCCATAAAATATTTGACAGGTTGGGGAGACAAATGATGAGAAAATAGGTATAAACTAAGTCATGTTTTGGCAATTTTAATACTAAAGATACGCCAAAGCTGTTAGCCAATTGCAAAAAAATAAAATAAGCATAACATTATTCAAATACTAAACAAAATAAATTCGAATAAAAATTGAACATCTTCCTTATTGCCTTCAAATTTTTCCTACGGTCCCTGTTGTATAAACGATGGGTACTCTAAATCACAGTTTTCCGAAAATTAAACAAAAAATGAATAAAATTTGCATAATATCTCACGCTCTCTCTAAATGTGCCTAAGGTCATGTACCTGCCAATTTTGATGAGAAAATGATTCGCGAAAAAGGCTTTTAGGTGATGTAACCGAGGACCGGAAAACCGGTGCGAGAAACGCTGACATAAAAAGGGCGCATAAAATTAAGGGTAAAATTTTATGTTTCGAAAAAAGGTCAAATTAAAGCTCTAAACAGCCTCCGGTAAAAAAAATTAAACACAGGGTAAGAGGCGCTTAACAGTACCGTAATTGCTTGGTATTGTCAGACTTTTATGATAAAGAAACTTTAGACGGGAAAACCGGCAGTTTTTAAAATTTTAATAGATCTGCAAGACCTCTCGAAGGATGACAAAAAACAGATTTGAAAAGAAAAAAGTTCGGAATGACCATCGGTCATCTTTTGCCCTCATTCTAACGACATTTGACAACAAAAAACGAGAAAATTTTTGAAAAAAAATCCCGACGGAAAGCTCGGGGACCACGCAAAAATTTATTTTTCGGACCAACGACTTTTCACAATGACGTCAAATTATAAAAAAATTGAAATGAAATCAGAGGGCTAAAAATGGCCATTCAATGTGGATCCGGTGCTAGAAATAACCAGAGTACAACGAGTGCAAAACTCTGCAGTTTTTTGGTATCAAAAAATTTAGACATTCAAAAATAACCCTAATGAAACCTTTTAGTGATCAAAGAAAATTTTTACTTTAGTATGTCACCAAAAATGTCATCACAACTTTTGAATTTTTCAAAATGAATTTTAACAGGACTATTATATATGTAAAGCTATCAAAAGAATCCAAAACCAAACCCCCTTGACCCCATGGCCCGGCGGGATACCCTGAGGGCGCAGAATAATTTTCCGCTGCTCAATTCTGTGGCATCTTCATGCAGGCTTAATTCGATTTCCCGGGTCCCTAAAGCCTCCGGAAACCAAAGATTTTCGCGGATTCCGCTTTAAGGATGCCTCAGGCAATCAAATTAATCCAAGTGATTGTTCGGCCATTAGCTACGTACTTGTTTATGCATAAGAATAAACATTATTTTAAGACAATTTTTGAACTTTTTTAAAGAAAAAAAAACGAAATTTGAGATTTTTAAAAAACAAAATGAAATTTAAGAGAAATACATCCCAAAAATCTGTTTTCTTCGTATGTTGGAAATGTTTTTTCGTATGAAATTTGATCCGCAATGTCCAGACACTTAAGAAATGAAAGAAAAAAAAAACGATTGGCCATTATGTGGCCAAATGAGAAGGAGGGAAATAAGTATCCAAGATATTGTAAACCCTTGCTTTTGAACAGCTAAAACGGGAGAAACAAGTTTAAAAAGTTGTCTAAGAAAGTCTAATATCGCCAGATCTAATCCGATATTTGCAGATCTCAGAGAACCGCCTGAGGTTTTAATTACCAAGCCCAAATATGGCCATAAAAGACCGAAATCATCCTTCTTTTCGGAGAATTGAAGGCTTATTATTAAAGAGCCGCAAGGCCTATGTGGGGCTATAATTTCAGGGCAAATTTTGGATGCGAAATTGGTACAAGTTTTATAAAATTGAAAGCAGTACTGTAAAAACCAAGAAGCAAAGAAAAGTTGCATTTTTAAATCAAAAACTTTTCAAATTTTTATTTTTCCACAAAAAACCGGGTGACCTTCTCCGCTGAATTAAGTTCAAAGCAAATTCCACATCCTTAATCCCATAATTGTAAAGACAAAACAAGGATCTCGCCAATTTTATGGCCATAAAACGGCCTTTCGCGCACTTCCTGTGCCCCCAAATTGATGCGCTTGATTTGACGCGGAACAACCCTCAATTTGAGTGTGAAATTAATTGATTTCCGAGCCCGCTAATTAGTCAATCATCTTGAAGAGCCGTTTTTGACGTCTGGCCAAGAAATTGCAAGATCGACGTGTTCTGAAGATGACCTTTTTTGGAGGTCATCTTTAGGGAAAATGCTCTTTACTTCACACTAGATATCTTTTAGAAATTCTAATGATTTTTACAGTAGTAAATGGCTTAAAGACAGTTTTCAAGAAGCTGGAAATCTCTTCGATTTAAAAAAAGTGATATTTGCCTTGGACATCCAATCAC